TGTGACACTTGAGGGCTGCCATCGTGTGACACTTGAGGGCTGCCATCGTGTGACACTTGAGGGCTGCCATCGTGTGACACTTGAGGGCTGCCATCATGTGACACTCGAGGGCGTGATCATACAATCCCTTCAAGAGTATGCTTTTATCATGTAGTAAATGCCAGTAAGGGTGTTATCGATGTCAACACAAGTCTCAGTTACAGTTCTGTCATTGCAATGAATGGTACTGAAAAACCTAACAACTTCAACCTCCATTCTGTTGGATTTTCAATGCACTACAAAAACCCCAAGAAACTTGCTTTTGGGTGTTTATTTCAAAATGTTTTTTGGGGGGGGAGTTAAACCTTGCTCTGAGTTAACACATGTTGGTTTTCTTGTCTGCAACATTATTGCATTATATGTATACAAATGATATTTAACACATACTTCATCATCAGGTGTTACAACAAAAGAGGTTACGTCATCACAGTCCTCCTGTTGAAATACAAAATGAGTAAATGCTACTCAATATTATGCAGACTCCATAAAGACTAATGAAAGCCATGTTTGATTCAATATTTCGTTCTTTATTCAGAACATCTTCAGGAATTCAGAACATCTTCATTCCTGAAGATGTTCTGAATAAGGAACGAAATATTGAATCAAACATGGCTTTCATTAGTCTTTATGGAGTCTGCATAATATTGAGTTATCTGAATATTATCAGTGGATCACCTACTAGTAAATGCTATATTGCATAAATACTGGTAACTAAAAACAGGAACCCTTTAATTAATGTAAAGCAACATGCAAAGTAAATGAATCACCCTACCATTGCACTTAGCACATATTACACATTGGAACCACTTTCACTAATACTGCAAACTACTATCTCATACATATACCATTATTCCAAGTGACTTCAGTATTTAATATCTGTGTGTTGCTGTTGCCAGCCTGCCAGTTTTAGGTAGCCTCACAAAACTAGGGACTGAGACTGGTTATGTAACCACTACCTTTTAGTTAAATGTTCAAAGTGGCTAGTCAAATTCACACATTGATACTTTTCTTCAGCTATGGGCCATGGCGTTGTCTAACAATTTGTAATATAGTGTTTCACATGTCACCATATATAAATCCACAATACAAAAGGCTCACCGCTTTGATGGAATGTACCACTTTACCAGAGGTTGTGTCAACTACGTTGATATTTGCTCCTTGCACACAGAAGATATGGTTCCCGTCTCCAGATAACTGCACTTTTCCTCCAGTGTAAAATGCAGAGATCCTACTCTCTAGCCGGAAACTGATGTAAAAGAACAAAAATAACAAAAGTTTTCATCAATAATAGGACACACCTGATTTTTATAATTCTGAATGCATCTCATTGCCGCCAACTGACATCTGCAACTTCACTGAATGTTCCCTTAATTACCAAGCCTTTCAAAAAACATTGTACAGCAATTGGGGAGAAAATGCAGAAAGAATGTTGCATCTTACCTCTGTTTTTAACATCATATATGATCATGTCAGCTCAGTGAAGGTCAGTTGTTGCAGAAATGCAGAAAAGCTTCCACTTTTATTAGGAAGTACTAGGAAAATTTTCCTTACTTCCAATAGCCTTTGTACACAACCACTATAGTGGAATCAGGATGCAACATTCTCTCGGAAACAGAGACTCTCTTTAATACCCAAGTTTCCGAAAGCAAAATGTCCTGGTGCACTGCATGCATGCACTGCAGTCAAGCCATTATATGTGGCAAGCCTAATGTTCACCAGCACTAGCTTAGGCAAAGTGTAAGACCCTGCAGGGGCCAATTTCATAGAGCTGCTTAAGTGCAAAATTTGCTTAAGCACAAAAAACCTTGCTTACAAAACAAAGGTAACCAGCTCAAAATCTATGTGATTGTCATGCTAACTAAAAGACAGGTGAATACCATTCAAAAACAATATACATTACATTGAGTTTTGGCTGGTAACCTGATTTGTCAAGCAAGGTATTTTTCATGCTTAACCCTAACCGCCAAGCGTATTGTTTGGCTTACACTACACAGTACTACAAAATACTAAGTAATAGTCTGAGCCTGAAGGACCTAGTGCTACAGATTACTACTTCTGGCTAGGTTACTTCCATTGTTACTTGTACAGAGAAGATGCCTATGCCAAACAATAACATGCCTTACAATAGGAACAGTACCCTGTTGTTAAAGGATGCTAACAACAAATCACAACATGAATAATCACACTTCACTTTGTCAAAGCGAAACATTATTCGCACACTCTTCGAATCAACAATGCACACTTTTTGCAAAAACACCTGTCGAAATTGCGCAGTCACCTGGTCCGCATACAAACGAATGAAACGAGACTCGTGACGTCCTGCAGAGAATTGTTGAAGACGATCCAGTCGTGATAAGATTGTGTATTTAAATATACATTGTAGTTCCACTTTCTCATTTCATAAATGAAGTTCACTGCGTAATATCAACACAATCAACCTGCTCAAAGGAAGAAAATTGGAGGAAAAAATAACTCACTTTGATTTCAGCCGGATTGAAGCCATGCCGTTTTCGATACGCACGATAAAATTTAAATCCATGCATTTACAGCTGATGTAAGGGTACACTTAATACCTCCTTCGACCACAAACTACTGCTGGACTATGGATTATACTACTGTATGTGAAGAGACTGATTCCCCGTGTCAACACACGCTACATAAGCCTGTTCTGGGATTATTTAAGGCATCCGACTAATTGAAAGGCGTTTCTTCTACTATTTTATGCAGGGCTTCCTTGGAATTAACAAAAATTGTCAAACTTAGCCACAAACACTGTACAGGTTTTTTTTTTACTATAGAACCTGCTGAAGTATTCCATTTAATGTAATCGTAATAAGGAAAGCCGTTAAGTCGTAAAGATTTGCAAGTTGACATCCTTTTCAAAATAGACTCTTCCACAACTTAATTCACGGCAGATTTTACCGGGCGAGTGATGGCACGGCTCGAGCTAGCGGTAGCTAGCACAGTAGCGGCGTGATCGTCAGCAGCTCAACTGCTCTGTGGGCATGTCCGGACCAGCAGGAGGCGGTTATCCTTGGAGCTGTCGACGTAATGAAGTTACTAACATTGCGAGGCTTTCATCAACAAACGTGACGAGTGCTTGTAGTGACGTGCTTTTATTATCAGGACCTGTATTTTCCAGTCAGAAACAGCTGTTCACCGGTAGCACTAGCAGGAACCTGGGAACGGACCGGTCAGTCCGTGTACGGTGATCAGAGAGGAAGCTTCGCTCGTAATAAATTTCTCGCTTGTGGACTGGTTTGTAGTCGGTGTAGGCCTACTACGCGTGGATGACATGCTCTCCAAAAACGTAAAACTCGATCTTCACGAGGCAGGTAAATTACATGACAAAGGAAAATCAAATTCTTACGAATTATAGATGGAAACTATGTTTCAATGTGTTCTTCCTGGGAAAACTGATGTTGAAATATTGTTGACCTAGGCTATGAAAAGAGGAAAGAAATCAGAAGAGGTTGTACTCAGATCTAGAGTTTGTTAACGTTAGTTTTAACTTTAATATATTTAAATGAATTGAAACAACTGGAGGAAAGAGTTCCATACAACAGAAAATCAGACAGTGACCATCTCTTTACACAAAGAGATGGTCACTGTCCGATTGTACAATTGTACAGAGTGCGGTGTAACGGTGATGACATCATTTGTTCGGTCCATGGGCAAGGGCGCTACTTACTTTGGGAGCGTTAACGCTTGTGGAGGCCCCACTTGTGGTATGGGGAGAGGGGGCATTTGAGTGAATTTTAATCGATAAACTTTTTTAATGAAATTTTACAAAACCAACTTCAATTGGAATGAATGAATAAATAATTTGCTGCATTATAGAATTGATAATATATAAAAAGGTGAAAGTCTAACCCTCAAAGACCCCCCTTTTCAGGTTCTCCACAGAGCTATATATAGCTCTATTGGTTTCTCCTAGCCGGGGTGGATTCTACCCACCCCCATCACTCGTAAGCAAGGACGAATTTTAATTGAATTGATTGCGTACGCCAGTGAATATGTCTGAGGTAAAGAAATGACTGAATGTTATTAGACTTGACAGGAGTTTATAGTTGTGACACAGTGAGCAGGGCACAGCGTGTTCTGTGGTCTCTGCGTAGGCCTATAAACACATTAAGCAGCGCCCTACCCAGGTTTGGGTTCCCAGGAGAAATTGGATTTTTTTCCCTCCAAAAAATGTGTGGTCCATTTTTCCTGTCCGTATACACACCGGGTACATATTGCTCAAGCCCTAGACCTTCACTTAAGATGGTGGCGATGGTTTGAATTGTTAGTAAATCAAGTCCTTATAAAAAAAAATAAGAAGAAATATGTTTGTTACCATGGGAGCATGAAAACAGTAATTATTCAGGGATTTCTTTAACCCTAACCCTCCTCAATCCTTCACCTGTTGGAGGATTGAGGAGGGTTAGGGTTAATTAAGTTTCTTTTTGTCTCTCTCTCTTACTCTTTACCTTTTCATCAGTCTTATTTGTCTTTAGTTCCCTGTAAAAAAATTGCACTGCAGCATCTAATCTAAACCTTACAAGATACTGTAGTTATGATACAAATCTAATTGAGATGGTGTTTTTATGATAAGATGCCTGATTGCGGGCACAAGCACGTTGTCATCATCATTGAACATGGTCAAATAGTCTTCACACACATGCTGATTAAATTATGTCTTATTTAAACAATTGTAGATTATGCTTGAAATGTTATCGGTTGTGCCAGAAGGATTGTATAACAGTATGAAGGAGGGATGGTTAACAATACTTTCAAAGGTTTTCAAAGTTACAAGCTTTCCACATTTTGGCTCAGGCCCAATTTTTCTTATTTACAAAAATATTCACAAAATGCGACAATATTGCCTAAGGACAACTTCCGTACACATCTGTCCCAGAAAAATGGATAAAATAGACCAACTTTCTCTAAACAAGACTTCTTTCACCTTTCTTTGTTTCTCAGGAGATGGTAGAAAGAGTTCCGAGTAGTTTTCTTTTTTTATTGGTGCAATTAATGGTGGAGCACCCCTTGTTTGCTTGTGTTTTCCATTGACGTGTTGCGGCAGAGCAAAAGTGTTCCCTTACCCAATGTGAGTGGCACCTTATACCCTGAGTAGCCATATAGTGTTACACTTTTGTTGGTGACTGGCCAATCTTAGCACTGCTTTGCAGAGCTATAGGATCTTGGATACAATGTACAAGGACATCACTTGACATCCTGTGCTTATTATGTACAGACCCTATGTGGAAACTGGTCTGAAAAATTCTGCTTCGTCAGCTTATTACTGCTGCGAACTCCACACTGGGATATTTTAAGTATTTTCTAAGTAACATTTCTATATTGTCCCTGCTAAATTTGACATTTTAGGGCATGTTATCACTTGCTGATGGCTGATTAACCACTGCAGGGAAAATTAGTGATGTCTGTATGTATGGAAATCTCACATGTATGTACCGGGGGTACTCCACTGGACTTTATGACAAAATGGTTGTTTTTCATCTGTAAGCAGTTGCTTGTCTGACTGAGAGGTGTAATTAAAGCAAGGAGAAATTTCTCTTTTAAGAGCCTTTTTCAGGAAATTGATTTATTTTAAATTTATTATGCATGCACCTGTAAAATGACCCGTAAAGTACATGTAGTCTTAACATCATTTTAAAAAGTTTACTCCCCTTGTAGGACATTTAAGAGACATTGTGATTGGGCCCACATTTTACTTCACAAAATCAAAGACCCTGAAAAGCACTGTTTTGAATGAACAAAATTAAAAACAAGATGCAGCGAATGCCACCAATAAACAGGGCTTCTGGTCAAATTTTAAACTACAGGTATGCCCATTAATTCCCTCCTTTGATCCTGGATAATTTACTGGTTGATGTAGGTGTACGTGCTCCGAGTTGGTAAAAAAGTGAGCCCTAACCTTTATATTTTGATTCTTATTTCAATTCTATCCCCAACCTTGACGTATTTGACTCCATATTTTTTTCAATCAGTATATTAAAAACTGCTGGCCTTATGGTTGTACACATGTATTGGAAAAACCACTGATATAAAGCTCGACACTTGAAAGCTGATCTGATCTGATGTAGTAAAGCAAACTGATTTTAAATGCAGTCTTTCTAGACAAGAAAAGTTCAGTCCTGGCAGTGAATGCAATAATACAGTATTTCACCCCATGTCTACTCACCAGACATCGTCAGACTCAAAAGCCATTAGAAATCCAATTACGTGAATTGCAACTTCTGCCTTGTGGAAACTGCAGTCATACCGCCCACATAGATACCTGAGCCCTGACAGCGTCAAGGAAGTGTCTCTGTATATTATGAAGGGACGTTGGAAGAGCATTTGTGTGTCAAATATCATGTGTTGGAAAGCTTCTTTGATGAGTGGGATCCCTTAATGTCTTATGTGTCCGAGTTACTAACTATGCCTTGATGTTCGTGTCATATCTCGATAAGTGGGGAGTTGGGTTGGCAAGGTAGTTCTTTCTTCGCCTTCCACCTCTGTGGTCCCGGGTTCGATTCCCGGCCCAGTTCATATGTGGATTGGGTTTTCAGTCCCTACCTGACTCTGTGGGTTTTACCCAGACTATTCCTCTGGGGTTTTTCTCCCACCTCTAAAACTGTAACTGCTTCTTATTGTCTACTCTTTACTGACTTTTGGCGGCTGCCTGAGACGCCTTTGTATGCCATCGGTTCAACCACATTTTAAGGTATTCAGTATTCCATGCTTAATGTCTTTCATTGTACAGAGCATTTGAACATGTCTGTATAAAATTTGCACTTTACAAAATGAATAAATTCTTAAAGTATTAAGACAAAGTGGAATCACAGATTTGAAGCAATCAAGGGGGAAACCTTCAGTGAAGTGTCTATATAATTCCATGTAATTGTGCTATTTGGAAATCCTGAAGTGCACTTAACAAGCCCAGAGGTATTGACTGCCTATTACATAGTACCAGTTCTGCGAGAAATTTGCTGAGGGGAAAACGTTTTACCTTAACATTATTGTAGATAATTTGGATTAAGTAAAATGTACGGTAAAATCAACACCACTTTGATACTTTTTTCAGTATATGGTTGAAAAAGCCAAAGGTTAAATTTGTTTAAATACAAAAATATATGCTAAAATCTTTATAGTTTTGTACTTTAAGCAACATACTGTGCTGTTTATATATCATCAATATTTTGTTCAAATAATTGCTGAGCTGAGGAGATAGAGAATCGTTGTACATGTTTTTGGATGTTACATCTGGTAAACTGACAGATGTGGAAACAGTGGGTGTACCTCACCTGTCTTATTTTAGGGTAGAACTCAAGGTTGTAATCATTAATTCAGATAATTTTTGTCCTGTTCCTTGCCAGCTTTTTCGGGGAATGTGGGATTGCTTCGATTACTTCTTGATCAAGGAGAGGTGAGTTGACTTTTGCAGTAACCTAGCTGTGTCTGACTGTACTAGTAAGGACCCTCAGTGTAGTCACACATGTAGTTTGGAGTCACACTTGTAGTCTGTACACATTGTTCATATGGTTAAAAATTGACATATACACGTACCCCGCAGGTCATATTGGATGCAAGAATGTTGGTAGCACATCTCACCACAATTGATGGGGAAGGTAGTACTGTACATGTAGCTTATTACGGATGCAGCAGTGTAATGTCTTGGCTGTCATGAAACTTGACCGTACCAGTGTTTGTTTAGTGTTTGGGGGATATGTTGGTTTTTTGGTCAGCAGCTGTGACGTTGCAACATTCTTTATTCGGTGATTCTGGATGCTGTACGTTTGTGTGTATGTCAGAGTTTGGGGCAAGGGTAGGGACAGAGCTTGGATGGGCAAACTCCTAAAAATAAGTGTGCAGCATTTTGTGAAGTCATACACAGTGGTCCAAATCCAAAATTACCTAATGATACATACCTGTAGGCAGTTTGTAAAATTTGGAGAAACTAAAACTTCAAAACAAGAGAGGGAAAAGCCTTGTCAACATCAGTGGATTTCCAAGCATAAAGTCATGTAGGTAGATTTTAATGGTTTATACATGTAGGCTGAAGTATTGCGTAAACCCTTGTAAATTTTAGGGAAAAATTCATTTTTCTGTTCCATCCTTCTAAAACATTGCAATAATTTCGTTGACCATTTGGCAAATCCAGTCTGATGTCTTGCATTTGGGGGAAAAGGCAATTTTTTTTCAGTCCAGCTGGAAAAATCTGTCTATAAAAACTGTAAGACTGTGATCCATGTGGCTCAAAATCAAATCTACTGTCTTGCGTTTTGGGGATTTTTTCCATCCCAGCCAAAGAAACCATTAAAATGATATTAAAGACAAAAGTCCATTCTGTCGTCTCACAGCAACCATATAGGCTACAACAGGCTTACATATTGTACACAGTTACTAATTCAATCATGTACTGACGAGCTTCTATTTTTATCTCAGAAATTAATAAAAGAATACCTCGGCTTGTCCCCGTTCTGTGCATTATCTAATAACACGCAGAGCTTGTGTTCCACGCCGATTTAACAATGTTTCTGCTTTCATTTGAGCTCTGCTTCTTTGGCCGTAATTGCTGTCAGAAAACACAATCACCTTGATCGTTGGTTGCCTTATTCAGATGGTGGGCAAACAATGATTCCTCAAAGTGCGTGATCTTGATCAGCTTCTTGCATGTTCACCATTCAATCTGTTCATGTCGGAAACAGTATCAAAATCACAAGCTCAAAAGTCCCTTTGTATTGAAGCCGTGTGTTGGTACAGTACATTGAGCAAACCGATGGGGAAACCTTGATGAATAATTGATGGCACACAAAATGGTGGTGTTGGAGAAACAAGTCGCACCTGACACCGGTGATCGCCTCATTGAAAATCAATATGGTGAGGTTTGCTTTCACACCAATTTAATAATTTAGGAAGTGGTGGGATTATGATGTATTGGTTGAGGGAAAAAAGTATGGCTTTTAAGAGTTCCCACATTTAACTGCGTCAGTTTGATTTACATTTGTAAATGTGTCAGTATAATATGTATTTTTCTAATAAAGATTCTTTTAGAAATATTGTGTTGTCTTGGAATAATTGTGGGAGATTGATGGGCAGATCTAAGGGTTAGTTGAAATTTGCCAAGGACTTTGTTTGATTCATTTAAAAGATTTTTTGATTTATAACAAGTGTCATGTTAGCAGTGTGTAACATTGGACATGTGTGCTGAATTTTGAAGCAATTTTTGTTTGCCCATATGCTAGGTCAGTGAAAAGAAAATGTCCCGTGTCAGTCGGTGGTGCTGCTTAACTAGAGACTGTAGAGCTACAGTTATCATTTGGGAATAACACTTAAATGTCAGACAATAATTTGCATGTATGCGCCGTCTCTGTCTGAGGCTGCAGACTTTATGCTATGTGAACACAAACAACAAATGGAGCCGAAAAGGGTCACATTTTCAGCATAAATGTTTGCTTTGGCACAGCAAATTTGCATTTGCCTTAAACAGCTTTTGTTCTGAGTACATGTATGTAATGGCCCTGCTTTCAACAGTCACATAGTAAGTGTTCTCTAATTTAAACCCTTGATGCATTCAGGGCAGAGATGTAGACACACAACCAATTTTGTTCAGCAGTTGCATTTTTACCACTTAAAAAAAGGTGATACTAGTCTCATTTTGAAGGATGCCTCAAGGGGAAATTGGGGTATCCATGTATGTACAATATGTACAACAACTTGAGATGCAACACGGCATTGCATTTTGGTAAGTCAACCCTCGAGCATAAAAGTGAGTGCAAATATATATGCAACGGCGGACTGGCTCGCATAAAAGAGTCCATCAGCCATTTCATGCATGTAATATTACAGAGTCCTGTGACAGAGATGATTAAATTCCACATCCTTGTACTCTGCCGCATTTAGACAAATGTAGTACAAACAGGCTTATTGGTATAGAATTACCCCTAGCTGTAGGCACTGATCCGGTCTTGAATGCCCTGTCTTTTTGTGTAGGTTGCTTCAGTGTCCTTTAGAAAATTAAACAGTGCTGGGAGGACTTCAGTTTAATACAAATAAGAGCCAATTTGCTCTTGAAGAAAATGCCATTTATGGGTTTTGTGTTGTGAGGGGCCTTTCAGAAACTGCAGAACGTAAAGGCTGACATTAAAGCCTTTGCAAGAGTGGACTTTTTTTTTCGAGTTCCACTTTTGTGTTGTAGACAGGTTTAAATTTATCTGTCAATTTTTAAAGATTTGTTGGCAATGACATTTGTAAATAGTGTTTTGGATAATTTGATTTTCAATATACAGTTTTTGTTGACTTGAAGTACTGACTGGTGTGAGACTTGAATTACATTTTTTTTTAATTGAGACTTGACTTGGAAAACCAGAATGACTTACATATATATGTATGTACCGTATGTGTCAAAGAACATGACATGAAGCTTCAACTATAATTTGGCTTATTGAAAATGCAAACCTTTTTTAATTAAATGAAAGAAAAATGTACATTTCTCTACATGTTTGTTCTCTCTGCAACAGAAAACTTCGCTATTTTTATTATATACATGCACTGGTGTTGTAGAGAAATCAGCACAGGACAGAAAGAAATTAGGAAGATAGGTCACACCAGACCTTACCTTAGTACCAACATGTGTTATGCCTGAAAAAAAAATTGCTTGTGTCTTGCAGATAATTGAATTGGTTACATCAGTCTATTTCTGACACAGCTTATCGGAGTCACTTTTCATCAGCGCCTTTCTTGGCCAGGGTTCCAAGGTCTGTATTCATTAACCAAGTGATCTTACACGTCTTGTCCCTCCTAATGCAATTCTTATCTGATTGTGTGTACAAGGATCCTGACGGGAGAAGCCTGCATGGCCAGACCGCCTTGCACAGGGCGTCGATGAATGGTAACTTGGACTGTGCCAGGATTCTGATCAGCTACGGCGCACAGACGCACATGCAGGACCAAGCAGGTACATACATATATGCCGGGCTTATGCTCACGAACGCCAGTGCTTGGAAGTGTCGTTGCCAGGATTTAGTGAAGATGTTTCACAACTGTTAGATGATTTCTCCACGGTATTATTTGAAATAACTTGAGCTACATGTAGACTGAAATGCATTTGTTGTCAGCACGGATGAAACAGCTGAAATAGAAATGTAACAAATTAACAGCTGTGACATAAAATATCACAACTTTAGCGGTAGATTGAATTCATAAACAAACCTGCTTGATCTACAATGTACCCAGGACTCCACTCAGCCCTGCCCACTCCCACAAATGACAACCACATTTTATATGGAATGTAATAAATAATTATAATGATAATAATATAGATATTTAGAAAGTGCCTTAAACATGAATCAAAGTGCTGTACATCATTGAACCCCTGTTCACTGGGCCCATGAAACATTCCAAATACCATCTCAGCTTCCTGTGGAGTATAGAGCTTGATGCAGCCACTATTTGGTGCATAGCGGCTAAATCAACCACAATAACCATCTCTGCCCTCACAGGTACGCAGTTACTCCTGGTTGGAGAGAGGCAATGAGTGACAAAGTGCCTTGCCCTAAAATATAAAAATATGCAAATTATGTTAAGGGGCAAGAATGTGATTGTTGTTGTGCCCTTTGACCTACTTCACTCACGGACAACATTATTAACAGTTTTAGTGCCTGGATGCTTCCACAACCTCAAGTTGGCTCTGGAGAATTCTCACTCCAAGAAGTTGTTGCATGATTTATGCATGAACACAAAACTAACCAACCGACCCACCCACCAGTCTGCCAACTGACCCGCCCACCAGTCTGCCAACCGACCCGCCCACCAGTCTGCCAACTGATCAACTGATGATAGAGCAATCAAGCCCTATGTTGATGGTCTCTCGGTCTTTGTTTGATTTGAAGTGAACAGACTGTGGACATACGGGTACATGTACGTGTAGAGAAGGGAGGAAGGAGTGTACACAAACATCCACATGTAGTGTAACAAACGAGACAATGGGAAAAAGAGAACAGGATCATACATTTCTAATTTGAATATTTACAAGAATTCCCCCGAGTACATCCACACAACTCTCACTCGGTCTTCTGCATGTACAATCCTAACCTTATGACTGGCCTTGCTTTTGGCTTTATAACTTATTAGAACTCATCCAATAGGAAGTGCCATCAAGAAAATTAGATAAAAGCATTGCAGTCATTGCCATTACAGAGCCTGCAAAAAGAGAGAAAAATTCCCTAGAGGAGATGTCTCATAGATCTGTCCCAGGTGTGACATTGCATCTTCCGTGGAGCGTGGAATTGAAATCTGCGTTATGCAGTTGTGTTGCGGTGACATGTCCCTCTGTTACCATGGAAACATTCAAACTCCGACTTACTTGTTTCTGCTTAAAGGAACCTCATACAGAATTTCCTGCATTGGTCCTGTTTATCAGTCTGTCTTCCTCGAGCACAGGGATTTAATTTCCCATCTACCCTTTCATTAAAATTGGTATTTCTTTTTTTTTCATCACAAGGTGTCCAGTGATTGCATTTCAATATTCCGAGCACAGAGCAGTGTGCTCTTGCTATAACTAACTAACGGACCACATATCTTGACACATTTTTGTAAATGCTTAGCAGGGAGCCATGGGTGTTTCTGTTCTGGGATGTGAATTGCTTGGAGATGTACCAATCTTCCACTTTCGATGCTCCTTTCAAATTTAATGTGAATTTTTAAATTTTTTTTGTTATTTGTAGCATGTCATTCCCAGTGAAGCTTACCTTTGAAAACAAACAGAATGAGCAATTGTGCCCTAAAAACAGCTGTAGCCTGTTGGTAAAACATTTGTAGTTAACCTTATCTGTCTTGCGTAGATTAACTGATTAGCGTGATGTATTGGACAGAGTGCAATGTTGCAGAGATTAATGCTTTTTATCCCCAAAGTTGGTTAAATGTAATAAAAAAACAACAACAACCCAACAAACAAACCAACAACCAACAAACAAACAAACAACCCAACAACCCCAACAAACAAACAAACAAACAGAACAAACAAAAGTACACTGAAGTGAACAAAATTGTTCCATCCCTCATTACTGGTATTTATAAGTACAGTATTTCCTTTTGATGATGATTGCTTCTTGCCTCAGGTTGCACTCCGTTGCACTATGCGGCTGGCAATGGCCACTTGGTGCTCGTCAAATGGTTCATCCATGAGGTGGACGTCAACCTGACCCCAAAGAGTAACAAGGAACGGACACCCAGGATGCTTGCCAAGAGAAATGGACACAGCAAAGTGGCACACTTCCTGGCTGAAATGGGTGAGCAAGATGACCCCCATCAGTACTGTTGTGTGGTCAAGCCCTCACAGGTTTTCAGAGATCCCACAAGTCCTCACATGAGTTTACCATCAGTCATCGAGTCTTAACACATATATCCATAGTGTTCACACCTTCGCAGTGCCTGCATATAGGTCACTTTGAATGATGTCTAGTATTGAAGTCAGTAGTCTTTAGTAACCAAGGTTCTCAATTCAGTCTACATCAGCTATCGTTAAGAGATACACTCCCTTGTCAGAGTCTGTCCCTTATTGAGTTGTGATGGATTGAGCTACATGTCTGAGAAGCACAGTTCAACTTTCACTGTCCCCAGAGTTACGTCAACTCTTTTTTATTTTCATTTCCACTCTTTTTTTTGGATTAAAACTTTCTTTCACATTCAGCAAACCACTTCCCAAAAGCACCATTTCCCTTTGATGTCAGGTTTATTTTCTGTCGCTTGGCTCTCTAAGCTTGATTCTCTTCCCGTTTTTCCACCTCCGCAAAATGTAAGCTGAAATCATTGTCTCCTTGAGGGATACGTTCCATTCACAGCTTGGTTTTAAAAAGGCTTACAAGTCTTACTGTAGAAGCAAAATAAAACATCTCGTCCATGAGACTAGTACCATGATGGAGGGGAGGGAGGAGAGCAATCTTGGACTCCATCAGACATGAACAGCTCTGTCAATATTGAACATGGAAAGCTAGCAACTCCATAATGAAGTGGTGTAGATATGAGATCCATGTGCACTGTAAGCTGATACTATGCAAACAAAAGGAAGTCTTTATCCAGAACTGTAACAGGTATGACAAAAATCTGACCTTTGACCTATCATTCTTGGAAGGCTAACAAATAATTGTAAGGTATGGACATGTAAATTATCCACACTTCCAGAACTTTTTTGTATCATGTACATATGCATATTCTTGTACTTTGTGGTGTCCACATCATGCTCCTTCCATTCAGAGAGAAGATTGTTGCTCTTGGGTAAATTTCTTCTGCATTTTGTAAAAAACTTCCATTTGCAATAATTGTCTTTTTTTTCAATTTCTCCCGGGGGGGGGGTTGGATAGACCACACAAACATAAATGATTGTGGAAACTACTGCATTGGTTCTCACTTACTTGTACATTTCAACATATGTATAAACAAAGCCTTGTGCATGGAGTACCTTTTGGTTCACCATAATGTATGTTTTTCACTTTGGCCTAATGGGTAATGAAAACTGGCCTGTCTGCTGTTCACGGTACTGTGAGTGTTAATACTCCTGTTAAGTTTTTGTTCTTGTCCCTCATGTTTTTCACAGAAAACAAACAGTCTGGCTTTTCATGGCTTGGAAGCCCTTGATGGCAGCATTGAACATCAAAGTGACCATACATTAAAAAAGACACCACTGCCAAGGAAATTGTTACAGTGTATATACTCGGAACCAAATTGCAGTTGACATTGGACAGCACGTCTATACTTCTACATCCGCATGCCTCTGCCACGGTTTTGTATTTTGCGAGAGCACAGATATGTCTGCCATCGGATGTTGTTCTTGACTGAGGAGAAGATGGACACTCTCAAAGAATTCAGATGGGTCTTGAAATTTCCTCCTATTTTGACAAGATAGAGTATGTGGGCTAGGGTGTCTTGTCCTGTCAACTGAAGGCTGCTCACCTGCTTACTATCACAGGCTCATCACATGACATTCACATATTACCTACCTGTACACGTACATTTCAAATTCCCATGTATGTGTACATTGTATGCATTACAACTTGGGTACAAAATTGTTTCGAAAGGTGTTTGTCACGGGTGTTTTTTTGGCATTTGTTGTCAAAAACAGCTTGACCCTTCTTTGGCAGTGCAAACGCAGTGTAAGAGGGATCAGAACCAGTGTCTAGATCGAGCACAGGCATTCTAAGACAACACCAGTTGTGCCATCTGTGTCTTACGCATTTTTGACCCAGTAAAGTTACAAATCTGTCAAAAATTAAACCACAAGAACTGTTGACCGATTAATGGCATAGACGATGGTTTGAAGCAACCCCTGGTCATGGTGCACTGTTGGCATGCAATCACTACTAGAGCTACGGTACAGAAATTACAATGCTAGGAAGAGGAAGAGATTTATTGTCTCTGTGAGGTAATAGGAATCATAAATCGTCTACTCCTTGCTTTGTGGATGTCTGAATAGCATATTCATAAGCTCAGCAGTTGTTAATTGAAATTCATCCTTTGATAGGAAAGTAGTTATATGTATTACCATCTGAGGAACTGGCTTCCTACGATAAGTAAGCTTCAGGGGCAATTTTATTTTGAAGACAAATTTACCTAATGCAGATGGAGAAGAATTAATTAATCACCAGCCAGTGCAAGGCATCAGACAATAAAAGTTTTATGAGGGGATTACATGTTGCAGTTTATGGTTTACTGATAAGTTTTGGACTCACGATGGGAGAGATAATGACAGGTGCATAACAGGGGGAAAGATAAGATTGAGGAAATAGGTTTTGGGCAGAACAGTTACGTTGAGAAAATGTTGTAGCAGTTAAAAAGGATTTTAACTCAAATGGATATGGTCAGTATGCTGGGGGTAGAGGTTGTATATGTACATGTACACGTATGTTTGTGTAAATGTATCGGACTGTCTGCTGTGCATGCATGCACATCTCACCAGTATCTCTCCAACTCAAAATTGAGTGTTATTTACAATGGATTGTGCACGATTGGTAGGTCACGCATGATTAATACTCCCATGCCTGGTTTGCACTTACATGTGTTAGTAATTTTGAATGGAAGTTCCTATTGATATTAATTTGTCCTTCACTGCTGGAGAGCCTGGTCTGATCACCTCCCTCCTTGTTTACTCTGCGAGCTCAGCGGAGACTGTTTTGTAATTATCAGAAAAGCCGCTCTCCACCTCTGGGAAAATTACTTTATACACATGCAACCCAAGGGAAGGCAGTAGTGACATTTGGCTTCAGGACGCCCGTACCGGTAGGTCTGGGCCCAGCCTCTGCATTGTTGCCACTGTGCAGAAATCCAACACAATGCAGAGGGGCATTTGTGACATGGTCCATGTCCGTGAAACTTGAATCAATTCAGAAGGGAATATTCTGGATAAAAGATTTTTTTAAGGTTGCCTTATTGTTTCCATTTCAATAAGATAGAGCTTCATTTGCCTTCTTGACCAACAGATGACATGCCTTATAATATTAAATATATTCATGTGTAGTAATTCAATTTTTATTCATAAGAAGGACGGTGCCTACCTGTGGAAACCCAGTGTAAAATCATTCTTAAAAGTTTACTCAAAGGATAAATTGTCTGTGATCTGTTCTTCTGCTAAGTCTTTATACATTTGATGTTTTGTTTTGTTTTGCTTTTCTCCATTGAACTGAATGTTCTTGTAAATGATGTTAAGGTTACTGCAGTTCTGTTGACTTCAGCCCAGATCCTTACAATTATGTATAGGTTTGTCCATCCCTGCTAGATTGTGAAGGGCTTCCTTTCAATTTTGCTCTCCATTGGTGTTAAGATAACATTCCATTTCAACATTTTCAAGTGCTGTTCCAATTAGGAGTCATTACCACAGACATATAAATGCATAGGCCACCAGATCGCAATCTACTACATGAATATTTCATGATCTGCACAGCGCCAGACTAAAATCAAAACTATGGGCAAATTCACCCCTTGATATGGGGAATTTACGCACAGTTGAAGAATTCCAGCCTTACAATTCTATGAAGCCATTTTTCAATTATGAAAAAATCCGCTGTTTACTTAATCTGGCTTATGTACATTCAAAACACTGCAGTTGAAACACTTGAAAAGAAGAGCAGGACTGAAGAGCAAATCAGTGAACGTATTTTGGGAGCATATGTAAACAAATGCAGGCAATATAAGTGCGTTGCGCGTGACGCGTTTTGAACGTGCTGTCATCCATCACTCTACCCGTTGTTTGCCCATACTTTTCAAAGTCAAGGTTATATGCGCGCGACTGACAGTCTATGTCTTATATGTCTGTGGTCATTAGACACGCATCACTAGTGCGTTTGCTCCAGCCTGTATCGTCATTACAATTTAGACAAATCTTTAAAAGTGTTGGCAACGTAATTTAATGTGTCTCCGAGAATTTACCACTGTAGGTAGTGTGTACACTATGAGTGATCCCCCTCCCCCGTCGCTGCACTCTACTGCAGTCAGTCAGCCACTGTACTTTGGAGTCACTGTATGCTCAGCAGAGTGGAAATAAATATCCAGTCTGCCAATTATCAGAACGACAGCGCACGTTATCCACGGTAGAGAGATGTTGCTGATTTTACATAGGAAAATGCGTACATGTATGCACAACTACAGGGCTCAGTTGTCGTGTGAGCAAGTGATTTTGCAGGACTTTGGTATTGTATGTAGATTTCTAGAGTGCTACCTTCTGCTGGTAGTCTTTTTTCCTCAATTTTTTGTTGTTAAGGAGATATGGTTTGAGACATGAAGTACATTTGTGATTTACATTTTTTATTGGGGGAAGGTGGAAATATTACGAAATTATGGCAACCACTTGTTTGCATGGGGGATGTTGTTGATTGGAAGTAATTTCATGGAGCAGCTAAGCGCAACATTTTACTCGGCAAAGAAAGATTTGCGTAGCATAAACTGGCCCAAAAGTGATAGGATTTTTATTGCTTCTGGCTGGTTCTCTCCTGTTTGGGTTAGCACAATAAGCCAGTTGTATTTTCTACTCAAAGCAAAATGAAATTGAGTCCAGGATGGAGTTGATTTGGAGGATTTTCTGTGGATAAATACCCAAAATAGAAAAAAATGAACTGTAAACCGTGTGCACACGTCACAGTGAATAGAAATCAAAAGGGAGATGTATACAGTTAAAAAAGAAATGGGTAGTGGGGTCTGCAGAAATTTGACTTTCTTTTTCTGATTTATGCCCCTTGACATTTTGCTCCCTTTATCCAAGCAGTTTTTTTTTAAAAAGTCATGCTCGTTCACTTGAAATGAACACTGTACATCATCACCATCCATTGCGTTTAATGCCTTGTGCATTTAGAAGCCATTTGTGAAATGAATCATGGACAATACAACCATCTCAAAGCACCCAACTGGTGTGACTCTGCAATGAGCCAGCACCGCCAGCAAATAAATAAGAGGATATCATCAAACACGTCTTCAATCATCAATCCTGCATCGTTCTGATGAGAGAGTAATGGATGGTGCGCATTTCCTGAAGTGTCTTGGATGAGACTATAAACACATCGAGTGGTAATCGGCCCATTCGGTGGCCTGGGTCGCATGTGTTAAGGGGCCATCAAAGGAATTAGTGTTTGCCGATGTCCTGTGCATGATGAGGTACACAAGAAGCACTAATGGCAGCCGGGGAGACATGTACATGTGTGGAGATATATTTACACTAAGATTGGAAAGCTAACCGGCGAGCTACTGTATATGATTACTCAAAGTAAGTGTGTTCACGTAGAAAGTTTGAAGCAATCTGTCAGAACAGGTGATGCAAGCCTTTAAGTAATCTGGTCTCTGCAGATGAGTTCAAGCTTTGTAGGAGACAAACATATGCATATCCTTCTCCCTGATGACTCTTGCTGTGAATGTGATGAGCATTCAGCTTCACTCTTTCTCCTGAAGAAGAACAGAGCACACTGTTCGAAACGTCGAGTGAACCCCGGTTCTTTTCAGAACCACACACACTCAAAGAGAGAATTTGATTACATGGTGTCACCGCAAACTTCACATAGTCAGCTTCATCTTGTCAATTCTTGCCGTATCAATCATCACCAGCACAACTGGCTAGACATTGACACAAGCAAAAGAGCTCATAACCACCGAACAAAAGCGAGGGTAGAAGCATGTCATTTCCAGCCTCTTTACCGACTCAACCACTCAAAGGGCCGTAGACAATTCGTTCGTATTTCCCTTGCCAAGTATTGACTTCCACTCAAGGAACTGATGTCGTTTTGTGTTGCACACCCAAATGTGAATACATGTATATTACATCTTTTCAGTAAATCAAGGCTATTCCCTTTATTTTGCTCCCTCCGCCTTAAATAAACCAACTCAGAGGAAGACGTGATACATTTTTTTTGTACATCAAGACACCTGTAAGTCAGTTTAAGGCCACAAGGAAAGCAATGGAACTAGTACTAGTCGTGTGACCCTTTACACTCGCTCCTCATGTCCAAGAGAGGTGTTCATGTTACCATTTGTCTTTCCAAAGAAGAATTTGCCAAGTTCAAAACATCAGGGCGCTCAATTTTCGATTAATTAATTTCAGTTCTGTCAGTCAGTGAGCAGTCTGCTGCAGCTTCATCTTTGCTGTTATCAGACATTACATCAATACGGGCGTTTCACAATAGTGCGCCTCCAAGAGTTTGCAACATGTTGGCCAATCACAGTGCGAGAAATTTGTCGACCCAATGCGCGTTTGGAAAGGGCCAACAAATTTTGCGCTTTGTGATTGGCCAACGCGTTGCAAACTCTTGGAGGCACACTATTGTGAATAGCCCGTATTGCTTCACATCCGTGCTGGGTTTTCAGGCCATGTGGCTCATGGAGCATTATACCGTGTTAATACAAATTGTTCATAATTTGATAACATAATTGGTTGTAAACAAGGTTAACAACAGACAATGGGGACCACTGTCACCAAAAAAGTGAAAACTTTTGTAAACTTTTTAGTAAAAAAGAAATATTATTGTACATATCTCGTGTCTCAGAAATCAGTTGGACATCCCTCAGAAAGTTTTGATATGCCCACTTATCATGCCAACTCATGAATTTGGCAGTTTCCATGGAACTGCAATTCAGTGCTGATTTCTCATGGGAATCATCAAGCACTGGATAATCTTGCAATGCAAACAACTGAAAATTAATTAGTGTGTGGTTCAGAAAATGCTGCCTTCCAACAGAAAGGTAACCATTCCACTCTGTTTGCATACTAAATGCAGTAAAGCTGATGAGATGTTGCTTGATTGTTGATTCAATTATTCATTTTGCCATGGAAATGACAGCTACACATATACCAACGTCCTCATGAGAGGTTGGCTCTGTTGATTGTGTTTGTAATACTGGTTACCTGTACAATGTGACAGCTGTCATGAAGAAAAGCCTTGGAGACAAATTTCTCATTACTAGTACAGAACAAATAACTCCAGAGTATTTTTTTCATCAAACAGTGCAATCTCCTGTTCCTTTTTTTAAGATGATTTCACAATTTTGTATTAAATTTTAACAAATCTAGTCATAAGAATTACCAGCACTTCAGAAGCAGTATAGCACTTTGTGTTTGTCATGATGGCTGGCCCTATAAAATGGGTGACCTGGTGGTATGTTTACCTGCTGGTAAATTCCTTTAAATTGCAAGGTTCTTCCAAAATATTAAATCTCATGACACCATATAGTAGTGTGTAAAATTTGATAGCTCTTATTTATATGGTGTTAAAATCTCTTTTTTTTTCTTTTCTTGTGCTAGCCATTTCATTTTCAATGCAGTTGGACGTAACAATGCATTGGTTGAACAGCTGACTTATCTGTAATGTCATTAGCTCATTTCCTTAGCTAATTTCACGTATGCTGAATACATAAATGGTCGCTGAATGTAGCCATATGGCCAGTAAATAGCGGGGTACATGTACTTTGGAGAGTGCAATTTTGACATCAAAAGTCATTCACAACAGCATTTCTTAGAGTTGACACAAGTCTTTAGTAGTTAGAATTTAGCTTTATCACCAAATTTCAGCTTTTTATCCTTCAAGATCTTTACTCTGAATTTCAGCTTTTTTGTACACTTGCTCTGTGCAAAACTATGGGGGCTCTTGGAATTTCAGCTTTTTGGCTGGCTGTGTTCAGCTTGACTTGTATGTGGCCACTCACACCCCTGATAGCTGCCAACACATGAACGATTTAATGTACGTGCCACAATGTCACGAATGTGTTCTCATGTCTGTCTTTGCAGGAATCACTGACTGACAGCCACCTGCCCTCATGTAACAATCGATATGTACATTATCTGCTCCGAGTGGAACAAAAGAGGGCATACTTTTTGGGTACTCGGCATGTTTTTTGGTACTCGCTGCATAGGCGCGCCCTGAGGCCCGCAAGTATATGTGCATTTGATGCAGAGCACGCTGAGTGTGCGTAACTAATTTATTATGGTATGTATGGTCTTTGCGTACAAGAACCCACTTGTAACCACCTGTCTTTCTTTCGCCGATTGACGGTGCACTTCAGCTCGGGGCGGATTCAAAGCCTTGAACATTTGCAAGTGAAACCCAAGCAGCCTTTGGCTTCTGTGAAGTAGTATATGTACAAGTAGAAGCCACTTAAAATAGCCAAATTCGTAGCAATAAATGTTTTATGCACTGCGATACCGGCACATGGACTGTACGTTGTATAGGCTTTCCACTCAGCGTTAAATGCATATTTACATGTATACAATGTAATTGTAACTTAGCATATTTAAGGAAGCCACATTTTAGAGAATTGTTTATTTTTTATCTGAACACTACATGAAATTAAACAAGTTCACCAAATCTGTGCAGTTTGCGCTTGTGTTTATTTATACACAAATGAGCAGAAAAATTACTTTTCGACCAGGGAAAACATAGTGTTTTTTTTCACTGGTGGTGATGAAAAGCATTCTGAGGTTGGATGTGATAAGCATGTAAAGAAGAATTCTCAGAAAGTTGAGAGAAAATAAACAGCATACAAGATTGCACCATAAGCAAGACCTCAAAAAACACTACCAGGTTGGTCAGATTAAAGAGTGGAAAATGTTCAGGATCTGTAATTACAAAATTATCGTTTCAAAACCTGTAAAGTTGTTTAGCCTTTAACTGTTCTTATTATAAAACAAGAAGATTTACTCTGTTGTTGAAAAAGCTTCAGAGTATAATGGGTCACACAAAGTAACCTTAGTATGGATTTGAAATGTGGGCTCTAACATCTCTTAGTTTGCAAGAAATCAAAATGACATCATTTGGCCAATTACTTCTAAAAAAAGACTTACCTTACAAATTTAACAATGCTGATAACTTGTGTTAAATAATACCTTAGAAATGTGTCAGACCCCCCAAGTAATCACTTTTTCAGTCACTGAAGGAAAATCTATCAACTTCTCTCTGTTTTTCCTCTTGAGTACAAATGCCATTCAAAATGTTGATACACACTGGGAAGTCCACAAGTCATTTATGCAGGTAACTGCGTAAGTATATGAGACATCTCTTCTGACATAAAGAGGGCGCTATGTAGCCTGATGAGGGGTAAAAGGAGAGTCCAGCTTGGCTTTGCTTGTGAATGTAACAGCCCTCTAGCTCTGGGAACCTGGCCCTGTAACTCTTGTAGGTATTTCATGTTCAGACTACGTGTAAACACTCTCCCCACTCGCTTCATGTTGTGTTTTGATGTTCCTGTGCACATTAAAACCCAGTGACTTATACTGAGCATGCAGTTTTTTCGAAGGAGCTAGAGATTGGAAATTTGGGGCTCACTGTAGTGGACACAGACTTTAAGGCAAGATTTGAGAAATTCATTAGGACACTTACATTTGGCTGTTTTCCAAGTTGCTGTTCATCTCTGTACATGGTCATTGCTAAGTACTTATTTTTTTGGGGGGGATTTCTTTTCTTAATTTTTTTCTTGTTTCCACTTTAGATTTGTTTGCCTTGTGACCTCAACTAATTGGCTGTCCCATGCAAAGGCATCTATTGTGAGTATGTCTGTAAAGTTTCAATTCAACCTGACAAAAAGAGTAGGACACTATTCACACAAACCAAGCAGTGGCTGGAAACTGACGTCCATCAGTAAATTCTCTATAAAATTTCCCATGACACATGCATTAGCAAACAACTACATGTAAATATATTACTGGAAATATCAAGAGAACAATTACAATAACGCATTAATATCAGCACAGGAACTAGTGCAGATATAACATGGTTTCAGGGTGGAAGGTCAATAGTAGCTTCCGAGGTGTTGGAAGCTGACAAACTAGTTCCTGAGGAAAAAGCTGAAAGACATACCAGCTTCCCACAGCATGAGGAGGGGAGCTGATGGCTGACGTCAACTATCCATCCAAAATAAACTATGGTATATTTTTCTTACTATTCCACACAAATATGAATTCAGTTGCTACTACACTTTCAAGCATCAGTAAATACAGGAAAATGCTACATGAGTGTCGCCATTTATTTCTGTGTTTATTAAGCTAGGGCAATGTTCATGCAAGCATACTACCCCTGGGTGATGGTTCCACGATTGCTTGGTAATGCAAATGCACATAGTTAACTACTGCCCGGATGGGCAAGGCAATAGTTCACCCCACGCACATATTTAACCTGTGCAAGGATCGTTTGTGTGTGGGCACAGTAAACAGAAAAATAGAAACTGTAATGTGATGGCGAGTGGACCAGTGAGCATTCTGCTCTCAGGCCTAAATATTCATGTGGTACAATAATGTTAAACAAATCTGCTATTTGGCTGTAGCATGATTGTCACAATCAGGCAGTCAAGCCAAGTCGGCCGTCTTGCACCACAGTATGTGCGCACATTACACAGGCAAAATAAGACAGGCCACCACATTTAATTTTTACAGAAATTCGCCTGCCCGGGGAAGCAAATTTTAATACTCTGCCTTTTTAATAGCTTTAGTCTGCGATGAAAGAAAAACTAGAGAATTGCTTTGCAGTTACCTAACCAGCATGCAGTGGTAGGCTTTCCCATGCATGACATCATTTTCTCTTGGCCCTCTTGTTGCTACGTCTGCCTGCACCATCTTCCTCAGGATCACTTCTATCTCTACGGCGACGGCGACTGCTGTTGACCAACAATGCATACGTAAGTGTTATCAACACAGCAAACCGTGGATTCTTCTTCTTTTTGGACTGAACATTTAATTTTCCTTCCAGATGTGTCTTCTTTGTTGACCTGACCTGGAGTGCCTGCTGTTGGGGCAAACTTGGGTCCTTGATAAGAAAAGATCTGTTGGGGGGATGTTGGGGGCACCTTATTTTGAATAACTAAAGGGACCCATCAATGTCATTTTTTTAATACAGCTCCTGTAAATACTGCTTTCTGTCCCAGAACTTGATTTTTCTATTTTTGTTGTGCCATTTTAAAGGCAAATTGGTACATTCCTAAGCTTTAAGCTAATAAGAATTTGCAAATTTATGACTTAAGGTACGATGAAATCCAAGACAGAGACCTAAGTTTTACAGCTTTTTCTGAACTGAAACTTTCCAAAAGTTTTGATATTTTGCTGTCATAAATTTTGTTTACTTTCAAAATTCCCTGCTATTTTTTTCAGTTCAAGAAAGGTAGTCATTGAGCTAAATTTTCTCACAAATATTTTCAGTGAGTAAATTTAGGGTTTACCACTTGAACATCAAACCCCCAAAATGAACAATGTCTTCCCCACAAATGCATATCACCGGTCTTGGGTGTAAAACCGTGATTTTGAAAAGTATGGGCCAGGGCATGAGTGAAGCGATGGATGGCAGCGCGTCCAGTGCATGCATTTACATTGCCTGTATTTGTTTACAAGTGCTTCCAAATACGTTCACCTTTTTTGCTCTTCGCTACTGCTATCTCTTTTTTTCAACTTTGCAACTGCATTATTTTGAATCCATATGGACCAGATTACTAGAGGGGTTTTTTACAATCGAAAAAATGGCTTCATAGAATTTTATGGCTGAATTCTTCAACTGTGCCTAAATTCCCTATAATGAGGGGTGAATTTGCCCATTGTTTTGATTTTAGTCAGGTGCCGCGCAGATCACGAAAACCCCTGTAGTTTTGAATAGGACCTGGTGTTCTATGCGTTTATACGTCTGTGGTCTTCCCATAATGAAATCTCAGCAACAGCGCCCTCATTTAAATTGAAAAACATGGCAAATTTCAATGGTTCATAAGTGCACTTTTTGTTAGAATAACCAAAAAGAGATGTCAGATAACTTTCATTTTAAGGAGTATTAAGTTGCAAACAGCATATTACCAAGTAAAATTTACATCATGGATCCTTTAACCAGCTTTCTGATATTAAAATAGTATGCGTACCTGCTTGTTTGTTCAGCACTGTGGGAAGCATTCCTGTGCAAAGTTCTTTCACTTCCTGTAGCTTCCTGGTTGGCAGACTGCCGGGAGGTACTTGGTCTGTCTGTAGGGTGATTCCCTGAATCATGGGCTCGCCTGGTTCTCTGGGATGAAGTCCAGGTGCTCCTCGCAGCACGGAAGGAAGCTTCAATTTGGTTTTCATTGCCGGAGAGATCTTGGCCATCATCTTCCACATCTCCGGTGGATGTCACTGAAGAGTCACTGGAGGGAGTGTCGTCCTGGGGCTGCCACTCTTCGTCATCCGAGTCAGTGTCGCCAACTTGGATCCCATAGAGGGAACCGGCCACATCTGCACTGCCTGCCTGCGAGGGGCCTGCTGCAGATAGTTCAGGGGCGTCGCTGCTCGCCGCATGCCTGCGAATCTTAATGCGGAGTGGATAACGCCTATTCTCTGAAGTCTCTGGTTCAGATTCCTCACTGTCAGAATGACGCTGGGGCGGCAACCCTCCCTCAGATGCAAGCTCGCTGCTTGCTTGACCTAGCTGGTTACTCACCTGGTTTGATTCACGGTTGGCTTGTGCAGATTGACTTCTGTCTGAAGTCGACTGGCTTGCCCTGCTGCCAGATGGAGCAAAAAACTGAGTCCGGGTGGTCGACCAAGGAGTACGCTCGGTGAACTCCAGGATGGGTGGGTCTTCCTCTTCGGCAGGACTGAACTCTGCATAGGGACTGTCTCTCCCTGACCAATCTGGGGAGTATCCTTCGTGCCAAGGCTCTTCATCGGGCAATTCATACTGTTCGTGTGTCTCATCGCTGGTAGACTCCCACTCGTAGTAACTCCTGAACCAGTCATTTGAAGAGCTGTCCGTATGGCCTCGATCAGAACTCTCATCTCTGCTGTGGCTGTCATAACTGGGGCTCTGGCTACGGCTCCGACTGTTACTGTGACTACGCCTTGGACTGTGGCTAGGGCTGCGGTTAGGACTGCGGCTATAGCTACGGCTCCTGCTGCGACTGCGGCTACGGCTTCTGCTCAAGCTGTAGCCATGTCGTTGCAGCTCACTTCGCAAAGCATTGATCCGTACATCGGAGTCATAAATTTCGTCCAGCAAGTCTTGTTCGACACGACTAACACGCTCCGTCACCTCCTGACGAGACTGAATCAGTTTATCCTCTAGATCCTTAAAGCGTTGGTTGAAGGTTTGCTCCATGGCTGGGGAACAAAGCAAAAACACAGAAAGGGAGTCACTAGAAACGAAAGTCAAGTGTGCCTTCCAAAAATGTATGATATAAAGCGCACTGTAAACTGTACTTCTAACTTGGCATTTTTATCTTTCAATTATGTCAAAAGCCACTTCAATTTAAGCCAGAAAAAATGGACACACAGAAGCACATATCCTTAAGTTACAGGACGGCCCATGATCACCTGGGTGTACATGTAAGTGTGAATGAGCATATCCTCTGGAACGTGTGAACTGCCAATGTTGACAGTGCAAATGAAGGTGAGTTTTGAAATACTTTTCGAGATCTTTCACATGTGTACATACATGTATGAATATTGGTCATTAACCCTCCTATGCTGAAGTCACTCTTTGGGTCACTTGGTAAACACCTCAAAGAAGCACAGCTGTGTTGTGTTGTGCACTGCACCAACAAGCAAGAGAGTGACCTTGGGCACTTGTGCATATTTGTGCTGTAAAACTAAAGGAGGGTTAATACATGTGACAGATCTAAGACATCCAAACAACGTCAAAGACATTGGCAAAGTCCAACGCTTGATCGGTTATAACTTACCTTGCATGCTATTTTTCAAACTCTGAATACAGTTGTGCTCTTTCATGTTGGCGACTGTCACTGGTAGTCCGCACCCTTTTTTGCACTTCACCAGCCGGTATGGGCACTCCTTTTCATGCTTCAACATGTCCTTGCGCAGGACGTTCTTGATGCAGCCAGTGTTGAGACAACCCACTAGGGCAAATTCACACTCTTTGGCGTGCTGCTCAATCACTTCCAGCTTGACGCCCTTGCTGCAGCCCCGCGACTCGTTCTCGCACCGGACCAGCAGGCGGTTGATCATGTTGCGGACGATGGGCAGGACGGGCTTCAGCCGGGAGTTGCTGAGGTGCTTGCGGCAGCTGGGACAGCTGCGGTGCTCGCTCAGCCAGGTGTTGATGCAGTCCTTGCAGAAGACATGCTGGCAGGGGCTCTCCAGCGGCTTGTAGAGCACGCTGCGGCAGATACAGCAGATGAGGTCGGGGTCGGGTGGGGTCACAAAGTCATCTACTTCATACTTGGACATTTCCAAGGTTGTTCCCGGTTTAGCTTTATTTACAAATGCTGACAATGAGAAATTAAAAAAGAAACATATATACTGTATATCTGCATGTTTTCGAATCTTCTATCCAAAAATCTCCACATTTAGAACATGTTTACAACTAACCTGGCTATTTTTTCTAAAAGGGTATATTTCTTAGACTGCACCCAATCTCTTGTGCAGAAATGCGAGTGCATTTTAAGAGGTGAGCTAACACTTAATGCAGGTCTGTTGGTACATATATTTTTTCCAAAAAATGGGATAAAACAATGTTCTCACACATCAAGCAGCTAGATCAGGCTGGGTCTAGCTTGAGTACCTCAAGCTCTTAATGCTTGAGACCCCTGGGGTATGTGTGTTCCTTGTAGGAAGGTCAACGACCAACGACACGTTTGTTAATGCACAAAAATCACACTTGACGCAACTCCTTTCTCATCATCTGACGCACATGCCCCAGAGGTCCGTGGGTGTGTGTTATAATTAATCAAGCTAAGCTAGACCCAGTAACTGGGAGATGCCTTAAGTCAGTTCCGTTGTCAAAGCCAGCAGAAGAAGCTCCATTAAAATGCCAACTGTAGCAATAGTCTTAGCCAGCCATACAGATCCCAAGTCAGGGCACTCTGAGAACGAAGCATGTAATGAAAAATAAAAGGGAGTTTGCGAAGAAATTCCAATTCCAAACAGACCAGCCGGCTTTGTGAATACGGAGTCAGAATACATAAGAACGACACGTTCAATGTGGGTACACAGACAGCTGTGACTCTGCAGCCGGCTATAACTTGGAAGGGATATATGTTCCCCCGAACTGTGAGGTTCTTGGTCTGTCTTGGTGTACCCCCAACTATGGGGTTTCTTGTCTGTTGCACTCCCACGACAGATGACAAAACTCACTATTCTGGGGGTAGGATATGTGAGAGGCAGGGTATTCTTCAAGAAGCTTTTTGTGAGTTGAATTTGAATAAATCTGGTACACTGAGTTCTTTAAATTCATGTGAACATAACAGTTTGAATTCTCCATAATATATAATGACACTGTCATACTTATACATTATCCCTAACCCTCCTCAATCCTTCACCTGTTGGAGGACTGAGGAGTGTTAGGGTTAAAGTATAGCTGGTCATGCTTGTGCTTAGTTCCTTGCTCTATGGTTCAAGAGATGCCTTGCACCAATACACTGTGCTATTTTCAATGGATGAGAAGGGCATAAAGGAAGCAGCCTATTCCAGAGATGGTGGTCGCAATGCAAAAACTTGGGAAAGAGTTCCATATACGTACAACACTAATTTTCCATTAAAATGGTATAGGCCTACAGCCGTCAGAAAGTACTAACAAAATTCTGAAGCATTTATTGAGAAAACAGTTAGGCCTAGGTTTTTTCAGACAAGTCCCATTTCTAATGTTTGTGCACAGGGGCATCAAGTGTTGTAAGCTTGCCCCAAATTATGAGGTATACATCATGATGAGGTATAGACCCAGCACGCAGCGACAGTAAGGACAACTCTACCCCAAGACAACTTGGCCCCAGGACAACTCGGCCCCAAGACAACTGGGACCCAGGACAACTTGGCCCCAAGAAAACTCGGCCCCAGGACAAGTCGGACCCAGGACAACTCTGACACAACAATGAATAACTCGAACCCACCGAAATTTTGGCACTCGTTCTTGAAAAACAGCATGTTAATTCATGGAAAGAGGAAAAGCCTTATTTGGGGGGGACATAAGTTTCAAGACCGTGCAAAAGAAATAAAAATACAGGTGTCATAGCAGATCGAGATGCAGAGACTATAGGAAAACAAACAGCCACCGCGCTGTACGATTCATATTATTTCCGGAAAACTTGCGTCTTCCTATAATATTGATTTACAGACACTTTTTTATTTAGGCTTCACAGTAATTGATCACAGACATCCAGCTTTCGTGACTTTTTTTATCAGTATTAATGGGTGTTTTTTATTATTTTGTTCAAGTGCATAACACAGCAATATCGGAACAATGGGCTATAATCTTCGTAAAGCTTAGCTCACTATTGTCAAAGTATAAACTATGGCTTTCCAAAAAAAAAAGCCACTTAAGGAGACTCTGGGATCTGTCACTCATTTTCATTAACAGTGCTGGATACCGATATCAATTACATGTAGGCCTAGGGATTAATCATCGCAGTTGAATTAACACGCAGGTCTCTGGTGGGTGACAAACGGGCCGGCGTCAAGTTCACATCTGGCATGCCGATGTTGGATGTTCGTGCAGTAGGGCCAAGAGCCGTGAAATGCTTTTTGGTGAGCCTGCAAAAAGGCAGATTCAGACTTCCATACTTCAAGCGAAAGCCAACGCGAAGAGAATTTGTCAGGGAAACGGACGGCACACGTCACAATTGAAGTTTCATTGTGAGGTGCGCCCACGTTTCAGGCTAACAAATTTCTTTTCAGTTCATGTTTTGGGCCGTTGCAGCCTTGTCTTTGGTGGTGTCTCGGGTACTACTCGGGCATGAAAAAGCGTACGCAGCGCACATATGACATGCACGATCGCTGGCAGTGGTTACGAAATCTGACCTCTATTGATCATAAATACATCAAAGTGGCCCTCTAGTTGGACCAAAAATCACTATTCAATTTCCGAAACTCCACAGATTTTCTCGCATCCAAATTAACCATAATTCTTGTTCATAATTAAAAGCCAACATCCTGTCCCATCCCAGATGGCTGGGTTCGGTCCGAGTTGTCCGTTGTTGGGTCTGAGATGTCCTGGGTCCGAGTTGTTCTGGGTCTGAGATGTCCTGGGTCCCAGTTTTCCTGGGGCCGAGTTGTCTTGGGGCCGAGTTGTCTCGAAACCCGTGCAATCAGCTAGGCCTAACTCATGCCTAACTCAATCAGTCAGTGTACCCTAGCCTACCTACAGACAGTACCAGATGAGATGAGTTTATAATCTTTATTTGAATTTAACTCACAAAAGGCTTATTGTGCTAACTGTACTAAAATCTGCATATATGTCCCCAGCCCTAGCCTTTCCCCACATATAAAATTTGTTATACATGTACATGTTTAATAGGTGCCAACAGACAATTTTACCGTCAGATTAACCACGTCCGTAGTGTATGCTTGGTACGATTATACCTGATCGATTGTGTGCAATTCCCCGGCCCCTTGGGCTGGCTTCGCTTCCTGAGAAATATTCAATATTGACGGTTGTGCAAGACTATGTTTTGGGTATCCGACTAAACTAAAAATGAATTATTCATATTGTAACAACAGCGAGCATATGATTGGTACTGTCGAAGGTCAAAGTGCACAATCTTTTGGCGCGCCGGCGCGCCTTCTGAGCTGAGAATAATGTCTGTTACAACTGACAGGTCTAAGTTGGGTTTGATCGTTTGGCCATAGTTTGGCTGAATTCTTGTGAAAATAAATCCCATTTTTAATAAGTTACTATTGGTATCTGCAAAGTGGGTAAGTTTTAATGAGTGATCAGTGGGTAAAACTTGTAAAGAAAACACAAAATACTCGGCTTCACGTAGCGTAGCGTAGCCACTGGCAAGTTGAAAGCACTACTGCGTTGCCTACAGTACGCTGTAGTATTAAAACAGGATTTGATCGGCGGCGGGAACTGAGAACTGCAATAAAATAGGAGAGGTTGGGTCTTGGAAGCTTAATAATATCCTGTCAATCAGTCACTATAAGTGATAACAATTTACATCAATATTTTCACCGCCAACTTTCCCTTTTTAGCTGGGGGATTGTAAATTTGGGGACCCTGTTTCTGCGTCAATCTCCCCACGGCCACGTGAGGCGCAAACCTAGTAGTATTATAGTAATAATAGGCCAGTTGATGTGATGTATCCTCTGGAAAAAGTGGCGTCCGTAGGCCTATATGGGATTCTTTCTTGAAAGTGTTTCAGCTTGAAGTGATTTAGCCTTTTTGTTTTATCGCCAATACCACATGGTTGATTTTGAATAATGGTACAAAGGCATTCTAGGAAAGAAAAAGGGGCAAGCATTGCCCATTTGCTTCCCACAGTGCTTTTGATATTCAAATGATAATTTGAAGAATACCCAACCAAGAGTGTTTGTGTTGTCCTTTTCAGACTGCAGTGCATCATTGACTAATGATTGGAATTATGAACACCCAATCTCCAAAGGCCACTGACGGCCAGGTATGATTTCTCAATATTCACTTGCGTGCTTTGCTGACGTGTCAAAAAAAAACATTTAGTGCAATTAATTCTATACAACTTAATATAGGAATTTTTTATGTGAAGTTTGAGAAGGAATTCCTATATTACATTCAGTGACAGCTATTTTGCTGGTTTGTGTGTGATTCATCTTGTTAATAGCCCCTCCAGGATATTTTCTAATTAGCACTGCAAGTTTTTCTGAATTCTATAGAGGTAGTCGCTAGAGTACTTTATGTACCAATTCCATCTTTCTGTGAGAGGGATGTGATTCTTGTACTTGCAAGATTTCATGCCTTTTAAAACTATAAATATGAATTCATTTTTTTATTCTGAAGAAGTGATAAAAATCACAGTTGTTGATCTCCAATACCAGAACATGGATGAGGATGATCTCAGCCTCAAGTTGCCGTCCAGTTTTGCTTCAAAGAATTCATCACTGATAACATCCTTCTTCAAACCCAAAACACCTAAGCAGTCAACTGAAAGTCCTCTAGATAATCTCATACGAGGAGATGATGGTGGCTGTCCCAAAACGAGCCAAAGAGATATCCCAAGTGATGATCCTTCTTGCAGCGAGATAAAAAATACCTCAGAAGTGAATGCGTCTAGTTATTGTCAAAGGTCAAAGGTCCATCCCGAGGAAAAGAAACATGATGGTGGGCTCCATGAACCCTGTATAAATGCAGCAAAACAGGCAAGCAGTTGCAAAGCCATTGTACAACAGGACAAGCTCAAATCCGGTCACACATGTAAATCTAATGATTCAAAAAGTAGGTTGAAGCAAGAATGCAATAAGCCTCTCAAAGCTGCTCAGATTCAAGGTGTTGACTGCTTTGGAACTAAAAGTGAAAATAATGCCACAGGTGACCCCTCAAGAAGTACCAGCAAGGCCAGTGGATGTGGCAAATTCTCCAAAAAGCGCAAGAAAAATGCGGATCAGGACTCCAGTTCTGATGACTTTGAATTTGATAAAAGGACCAAAATGGCCAAAAAGGAGCTCCCGGAAGTTGACACTAAGAAAAGAATAGTGCTGGATGAAGCTCCGGAGTCTAAGGTCATGGAATCAGGTGAACAGGACAGTGATGCTGCCTCAACTTGCTCCGATGATGACATCTTTGAGGTTGTTGAGCTACCTGGTCACCCAAAAGTAATCTCGTACCAAGACTTTCTCAACGAATCCAGGGGGGAGAATCAAGATGAAGAAACTGATCTTGCTGGTCAGTCTGAAAATAGAATGAAAAATAGCAGTGGGAAACCCTTTCAGAATGATGCAGAAGTGGCTGCAAAAGACAAGAAATTGAACCCAAAGAAATCTGCCCAAGCAGAAAAGAAAACCTCCCAAACTGTCAAGAAGCCAAAGAAGTCTAATCCAACTACCAAAACTGAGGATGTGTCTACTGAAACAGTGTTAAGTGCCATGCAAGAGAAGGCACGTGGTCAGAAGGGAAGAAGAGGAGAACAGAAATCTGACAATTGTCTTCCAGATGACGATAGCGTGCTTACCATTTCGTACTCAGACTTTCTTGAAGCCAAATCTGTTGATCAGTCAGAAAAAAAACCCTCTCCATTACCACTCACAAATCTGAAACAGAAAGTGGTCACCATTGAAGCCGAGGTGCACTCTCCGCCTTGCAGTAAGCCCCCAAATTCTGTGATTTCTCCCATTACTGTTGATTTGTGCCAGTCCCCAGAGAACCAGCAGACACCTGTCACAAAGAAGAGGACTTCAAATGTCGTTGTGAATGTATCCGATCTTGATCTGATGATTATCAGTACGGATGATGCTTCAGCAGCATTCGATAACAGGAAGACTAAGACATTGTATAGCATCTTCCAAAAGAAAGGAACCACGGAGAAACTAAAACAAACAGAATGTAAAGCTCTGAAGGAGGAAGAACCTACCGAGAAATTCAAAGATGCCCATAAAGTATCTGATGTTAAACCCAAATGTGGCAGGCCAAGAAAACAGCTTAAAAGTTTAGATCTCAATTCAGAAATTAAAGCTAAGACTTCAACAAGAGAGGCTGATGGCAGTTTGAAAGTGCATCCAAAGACCCAAAACAGCAGACGGGCAAAGAAAACACTGAAGAACATTTTTGACAGCCAGTGGGCAGAGAATACTGAAGAGGAGTTTGAAGAAGACATTACTAAAAAGGGCAAAGAAGCCACAAACAGAAAGAGAGGAAAAGCAAAGAGATTTGGTAGCAGCAGTGGAGATCGAGAGGAGTCAAGGGGATGCAAAAAGACCTCCCAGCTGGTGGACGTGGTTGTCATGACATCAACTCCCAAAGCAAAGATTATCAAGGTAAGGGTGTTAATTTTTGGACATGATAGAAACAGATGTGTGGATTTGATCGTTATGTAAATGTCAAAAGCCCCTATTTGTTTTGATAGTTTTTCAGCTGAAAACTGATTTGTCAGGGGAAAAAAATGGACAGGTTTATAAATAAAAATTTTTTTTTTGGTCAGAGTATTTTCTGCAAATTTCAGACTTGACTTTTTAAAATCAGACTTAATATTGAAGAAAGACAATGACAGTGCCTACGTAACTTAATTGTGTAAGAATTTATCAACAAGTTGTTACAGAGCTGGAGCAGGCTAAGGAGTGATTGTCTCATCACAAATTTATTTGTGCATTTCTAGCATCAGCAAGACAAAGAAAAAAACTTTGATGGATTTTTATTCCTGAAATGTAATCAAATTCATCTCTGCAAATCTTCGCAGAATGTCAAAGCCCAGCAGTTACTGAGGAGAGCCAAATCTCGACAGATGAACAAAGCATCCTCACTCCCATCACACACCAAAGACAGCAAACGGAATGCGCAAGGAGCTAAAGGAGCATCAGAGACGAACTGCAGACTTGACTTGTCGACATCACAGAGGCCAAAACCTGGATCAACAGATCAAGCCAGGAAGCCAAGGGATCTGACAAATGTTTTAGGAAGGAGAATCTCCCCGAAAGAGGTGGCTAATGATGGGATAAAAAAAGAGAAGATGAAAAAAGGTGTGGCATCGAGGAAGGCAGTCATGGAAGAGGTTCAAGAGAGGAAAGGTAAGTTTTTTATTACCAAGCATCTTGTATAATCTTAAATCAACGTATAGATTGATTATATTACCTGATGTAAGCTGATTTGATGATGATTTGGAAAGTGTTTTCCATAAATTCAAAAAAGAAGAGTTGCCTTCAGTGCTTTGATTTTTACTGCATTATTTTGTTGTAGATTATGTACCTTTGTTTACGCCCTAAGTCATGAAAACCTGTTCAACTGAACATCATTATTTTTGCCAAGATCCTTAGAGCTGAAAGGCAGTAATTAGAAGCTTTTAAGAATGACAGATTTGTCATTTATCAGAGTTCTTTTAAGCATTAGCAATCAAATAGTTATTATCTGCTAGCATTTGATGTTAGCATGTATAATTGGAAACAAGGGACGGGAAAATTGATTTTTTTTTTTACTCAAATAAGAAAGGAATGCCTTCCATTTTGACTCTCCAGCAACCAAATTGGCACCAATGTTTACTAAAGAAGGCCGCCTAGCCCTTGCCAAAAAGCAGCAGTCCCTGGATGGACAGACCAGTCATACTAGCCCTGTGGTCATCCTTGACGAAGATGAAACAAGCCGTGACAGCGTACGCAGTGATGGCGGAGCCATCATGGGAGGAACTTTCAAGCATACATATATGAGCGATACGTTTGTGAGAAGCAGGGATTCTGAGGCGGAGCGATCTTACCCACCATTTCCCACTGTCAGTCATGTTCTTCAGATGGGTGAGTTTTGAGTTTCTTTTCCCCTCTTTAAACTTACATACTTTACCACTTCGTGCCGGGGTAACTGGTTTTGGGCACATAGGCTTTATACACAAAGCTGGGAGCCCAAAAAGATGTCAGCAGCGCACTGTGCCGGTTCGGGAACAAAAGAAAATTACATAACACCGACAATCTGGGCTCTCTTTGCAAGGTGGCAGGCCTGGCTGAAATACTCGGGTGTCAATAGAGTTGTCTGTCAGATTAGACAGACCAGACAGTCATCTGTGTGGGTGTAAACATCCAGCAAACCAAGTTACAAATTTTAAAGATTTTTTCGAAACAGAAAAAAATGAAGAGTCACCCGGCCCAGCAGAATCGACATGGATAAATGGGCCTAGTACAAAGACTAAGACAGTTAAGAATCACAGAAGAGGATGGAAGGATAACAGGGACACCTTTGGACCTCCCTGAACCTTCTTGGACATCCTCATCTTGTATTTTGAGTCAAAAGTCTAGTCACAAGTCCAGTTGCAGCTAGCAAGGTAAATGGGATGAGTGGACTGTGACTTGAGGCAAAATGACTTGTGGACTTTCGAGGACTTGTTATGGATCCCTGTCCAGCACTGCTTTAGTCTCATCTCTTCATCAAGGTTCTGTAGGATCTTTATTCCGTTCATTTATTCTCGATCCAGTTCCAGAGGTTGAAGGAAGCGCGGACTGGTGGAAACTGCCTTCCCCGTGCAGTTATGGGAAATTCCTGATTGCAGAAGGAAAGCGTACATCATTCTTTGACAAAAATTTGAAGACAGTGGATCGCTTAATGAGACTTGGAGAATTTACCAGGTGCTTCCAGGGAGGAGAGATAACCCTGTTATTCAAGGTAAGATTTGAAGCAGCATTTACATGTACAATGTAAACAACACCCTTTTGATTTGACTTAAAGAGGCAGAACAAAATGTCAGCCCAGATCTTTTAAAAATGATTAGATATCTGCTGGTTCATTTCGTACAACATGCAATAAACTTTTAAACCAGCATCATCAATTTGACTACATATTTTCATGCTTTTACATAAATGGATTTTTTTCTAAATCTTTGCTGCTGTTGGTAGATCAAACGATCATAGAATTTTGTTTCTGAGCAGGACTTTTGTAATGCAGTCAAGCAAAATGAGTCCTTTGTCAAATTTTATTTGAAGAAACATCGCAGAATAACATGTCCGAAATCAGATCTTTTTCATTTTCAACTTCCACTACTGTTGATCCAGAGGTTGTTTATTAGTTTGGACTTCCACAGAAATGAAGGCAACCTTTTAAAGGAATGAATTTAAATAAATTGGCCTGGGTCAACAAATCACTCATTTTGCTTGATTGCGGCACAGTTTTTGCAGTTGTTTCTGCTATTAGCTTACATTACTCCTCTAGAACATCATTGCACGTTTTTGTCATGTTCTCTCAATTCCAGAATACATGTGCTTCGTGGCATTTTTCAGGAGTAATGGCTATTGCCATTTACATCTTTTGCTATATTGTATCATGATTTGAAAGAATTTCCTTCTGTCCTCTAGAACTTTACTGGCCATCCAGAACTAAGCCATGACACCCAGAGGTTGATCTTGGATCAGATTAAATCGGCCAATCCCCGATTCCCAGTCAACAGGGTCTTCAAGCGATATCTAGCCAAAAGGAAAGGAGAACCGTTGGTACCCAAACCAGCACAAGGTTAGGATTGTTATTTTTTTAATTCCTCCGCTACGACTTTTTCCGTAATTTCACAAAATCAACAGACTTTTTTCCATATTTGGAAAACCCTCTTTGAATTAACAGCTTCAGTTACCAAAAACTAGGTGACACTGAACAGAAAAGTGCACAGGGTGTTAAGAGAAAATTGTTTTAAATTAGACATCAGAATGTTCCCTAAAATATCTCTGTGCACATCTTTGTTTTGCTGCCTGTTGAAACAGCACTGGAGGCCAAAAGCAGCCCAAACGCCAACTCCAGTTTCACCAAGCTGAAGGAACAAAAACCTGCTGGTAAACGGAAGTCGGAGGTCACAGAGAGGCAAGGCAACACCAAGAGGAGGAAGCTTACTCAAGAGGGGTCTGCTGAGAACCAGGAGGCTGAGTCTGTCGGGAAGAGTCGGCTCAGGAGACGGAGCAGCAGACAGGTCATAAAAGGTAGGTTGGCTTTGGCGTTTGTATGCCCTGCTATTGAAGCCAAAGTAGCACTCTGTGTTTGCCTTGTCCTCTGTGTGTGTGTGTGTTTCTTCAAAAGCTTTCCCATTGTAACCCAAGAAGGGCTCATTAACCCGTACATGGTATTTGGGTTGGTTTTGGTGTCCATTAAAGGCCTGTTGATTTTTGGCTCCATAGGTCAAAGGTCAAAGTCATTAAAAGGTTAAAACAGAAATGGTTTTCCACCATACCTGCAGAGGGAATGGGCATATCAAACTTGGTATGTGAGCTGGTCTTGGTATCCTCTGGAAACCCACTGATTTTTGGACTAAAAAGGCCGAAGATCAAGGTCATTATTAAGACTGTAGATTTGTGTTTGTCAACATGCCATTGTTGGTTTTACTTTACTATCTCAATTGTATAACCATTAAGTTCAGCATTTCAAACAGTTTATTATTAAATTGCAGATGATGAGGATGAAGAGACAGAGGATGCAAGGGAACAACCCAAGCTGAGGAGAAGCTCCAGACACTTAGAGCAAGCCAGCAAGAAGGAGGGTGGAGTCACAGACCCTAAAGAGGGGAGGACACAAAGGATGAAACCCGCAGCCAAGGCGGAGGCGGAGAAAGATGGAAAGAAAGAAGGGCTCAAAGCAGAAGCTGCCAAGATTGTGGAGACTAAGGCTGGTAAGTAGAATGTCAACACCCCACACACCTCACCCCTTTCCCATCCCCCACCAAAAAAAAACAATGGGAATAATATAAAGAGAAGAATTTATTCAGTTGCTGTATTCATGGTATTGTTTGCAGAGAAACTCGCCAGTTTACCATGGACAGAGAAATACCAACCTGTTTCGAGTGCCGAGGTTATCGGGAATGCACAGGCTATGAGACGGCTAACTGGGTGGCTGACAGAATGGAAGAAGAAAACGGCAAGGATCAAGAAAAAAATGAAGAGGCAACAAGGGCAGCATCAGAACAAGACACTGTCAGGTAAGAAGAGAAATATTCACAGTATTACTGTCAACTCAGAAATTATCTGACTTACTCGATACCTTACGTGCAAATTCCTTTCCGACAAAAATTTTGCTTCTTATATGTGACAATGATGAAACTTCCCATTTTGATACTTTTGTACAGGACGAATGCTAATGCATATTTTAAGACCTATTCCAGTGTGACACAGTGTTCAACATTGTTCCTTACATGAATATATGTTTTCCATATCATTACTTAAATGGATTCAATTTTAACCAGCTGCATTTCAGAAGATCTTTGTTTTTCTGTCCATTTTGCAGCCTTGCCACTCGAAGAAAGTGACAGTGACTTTGACCTGGGAAGTGAGAGTGACAACAGTGACAGTGAAGATGACGATGACTCCCTGAGTAACGCCATGCTCATCATTGGGCCCTGTGGTTGTGGCAAGACAGCTGCTGTGTATGCTTGTGCTAAGGAACTTGGCTTCAAGGTAAGATCTAAAAACTTGGCTTGTGTACATTGTGAGCCTGTGAAGAAAGTTCTTGATGCTGTGTGGGATATTTTTATGATGTTCTGTTTTTTTTTAAATGCTTGCTGTTTGTTCAACCACAGGAAAACAGTTTATCTAATGTTTTAGCTACTGTGTTGTAGTTGTAGATTTTGGATTCAATTGTCCTTTGCTGTGATAAGAGACAATTAGAATTTGTTTCGATACCACTGAAATATTTCTGTATGGTAATTTTATTCTGGGAAGGTATTTGAGGTGAACGCATCATCTAAACGCACCGGTAAGCAGATACTGGCTGACCTCGGAGAGGCCACCCAGTCACACCACCTGTCTGCGCATGACCATGGCAACAGCAGCGGCGCCCTCAAGAGCTTCTTCCCTGCCAAGTCTCCTCCAAAGTCTTCGACCAAGCCAGAGGCAAAAAAGATGCCCATCCCAAAAGCCTTTGCGGCATTTTACAAAGCTGGAGCAAATGCAGCAGCAGCCAAGCCGGGTAGGAAGAAGGTCAAAGGTGAGATAGGTTTCATTAACCTTGATTAGTTTGATGTGAAAGGACTTGAAATGGGCTCGACTATAACACTGATTTATATGTAAGAAAGTAGCCTGATTAAGAACAGGCGCCATGCTGACATAATTTGTGCAATTCCTTTGCACAGGATGAAGGTGGTGTAAAATTCTCAGTCAAGTTGAGAGCCAGACTTATAGCCATGTTCATAGAAGTTCAATAAAGGTTATTAGGTTGAACAATAATTTATGTCTTAATGAAATAATGCATGCAGTTTTTATGTGTTTATTTGCTTGTGAACTGATCTAATGTATGGACCATCTTGAGAGGATATGAGAACGCTAATGAGAGGAAAATTCAGCTATTGAAAACCTCAAATGAAATTTTGTTTTTGGTCTGAGATTTTCACTTGTTAATAAGTTTGACTCCAATAACTGAATTTCAAATCCTCTCTTGTTCTGTCATTCTGATTTCCCTACCCCTTTTATGTTCAGCTCCTCCCAAAAAGAATACCCCAAAATCTGAGGTCCATCAGGTTAAATCCAGGACCCTCAGCACCTCCCGGCTGCAGCAGTCTTCCGCAGTTGTGTCTGGTGGACATAAGGATAGTACAGCAGTGCAGAGGTTGACCAGTACCTCACTTATTCTGTTTGAGGATGTAAGTCATTCAAAGCCTTTTCGTTCCTTTCATTTTCAGGTTATGCTGGCCACAAGAAATGTCTCTTTTTAAATTAAATTTATCAGTGTTCCTTTTTAGGGGGGGGTTTGCAAGTTAAGACAGCAAAGGAAATTTTAGTTTCAAATGTGGAAGGGGAAGTCAAGTGGTGTTTCACCCATGCAATTGTTGCGAATATTTGCAATATTTTTGGAGGGGAAAACCTGTGGTAAATTGTTAGCAAATATGGGCAACATTTGCTTTAGTAAACACACCTCCGAAGAGTGCCTGAGCCACAGAGGTTTTCTTTCAAACTCTGCATTGTCCTGTTTGACTCAGGTTGATGTTGTTTTTGAGGAGGACAAAGGTTTCCTGTCTGCCATTGCCACCTTCCTGAAGACCACCAAGAGACCAATTGTACTCACCACCTCAGGTCAGCCATTGACATTTTAAAAACTATAAATGTCAAATCTTCAAATGCTGGGTGATAAAAAATTTAACTGTTTTCTGTTAATTGAACACTCTGAAAAGTGTCCATGTACAGATTGTGCGATACGTAATCAAAGACTGTATAAACATCAGCGTTGTTCAGTTGGATAAAAACTTTGAACGTGTTCTCAAGATGATTGCCCTATGTCAAATAAGATAGAAAAACTCTGTCATTGAACTGCTGGCAATGTAAAGGCATATGCAGCAAGGTATGAGACGGAGAGAACCCCCCCGCTTTGTGTTGGTTGTTGGTCGCAGGAATCTGGGGAATTCCTTTCAGACATCTTGGGGGGGATGTGTTAAGTAACAATAGTCTGGAATGTGTATAGGGATTGGACATGTAGGGGGGTACCCCTGGGTCTCATTTCTTGCTGGGTATATGTTAAGGTTAAAAACAGCTCCTTTTTAGTTAAGCAGAACCCTTAGGTTGTGTGAGAGTTGCATCAAACTTGGAGGTTTGACAACTTAAGGATTAAAAACTAGAAGACTAGCTTCGAAAGGTTTCTGCACATGTTCCATGATCCTTGAATGTCTAAATGATTTGGCGCTTCTGGCCAAAGCTAACAATGTATTTGTTTCAATATCTGCAGATAGCAGCTTTCCTGATATGTTTGAGGAGCGATACGAAATGGTGACATTCCGTAAACCGCCCTCTGTAAGTGTGCTATCTACACCCTTATGTGGCACATCATTTCTAAAAAAAAGTACATGCTTTGACCGCCATCTTTAATTATCTATTTGATTTTGTCACTGAAGTCAAGAGTAATAGCTCAAAATCTTTTGGGAGCTTAAATATGGCATTTTCAAGGTATTTGTGTCAGGCATACTATAACTGCAAAATCTTGGTTGTTTTCACTCTTTTCATGAAATGTCCCATTTTGAAACACTTCCTAAAAGTCCTGGGCATTTCATCCTTACCATATTTTTGTGTGTTGACAATTTTTGGAATGTTAGGATTCACTAATGAAAGTTTTTTTATGGTAAGCAGAGCCGAAAGAATTTTGGCCCAGGTCCTAACAGGTTGCCTCTATTTTATGATTCCTGTCAGTTGCAGCTAACCACCCATCTTCAGCTGCTGTGCCTGGCAGAGAATGTCTGTGCGTCCCATGCTGACCTCCACCGTCTTGTGTTGCTCCTCAACAGCGATGTCAGACGCTGCTGGCTGGCTGGACAGTTCTGGGTAAACTCGGGAGCTGCACAGGAATCAAGAACTGGGGAGTTGGGAATTTTGAATCAAGCAAAACTGGAGAGTAAAGCTCCAGGCGATAGGCAAAACATGGAAAGAAGTGCAGCAGTTCTCGGCCGTCGTTGTGGGGAGGTGGAAAGTGGAGATTGTTTGGCAGAAAATGATGGTCATGCACAACTGAGAATGCATAACAATTGTTTTGAGAGCACTTTGGGATTGTGCAATCTGTCCGAAGACAGGAGTGGTGTTTCATCAGTGCTAATGGTAAGATTTGCTTTTTTTGTACCCTGCCTTTTTCATTTATTACTTAATAGATTAAACATCTCGACAAGGTTAATTGTTATTCCAACAGCGTGTTCTTTCAGAGCCCAGCATTGAATTGCAAGGTGATAATTTTCCTGTGAATTTATTTTTCATGAACTATGCTACGTGGAAAATCCAGAAAGTTCAAACGACATCTAGTTGTAACCTGGGCCCAATTTCACGGCGCTGCTTACCGCAGGTGAAAAATTGGTGCTTACCATAGCAGAAAATTCTGTGCTTACGGTGAAATTATTTCACACAGTAGCAAGGAATTTTGGCTTGTGCACATGCATACATCCCGTAACTAAGAATTCTGTGCTTAAAAGGGTTAGTGCAGAATTTTTCTGCTAGTGCGGTTAGCGCAGAATGGAGATCATAAGCGTGGAATTCTGCAGTAAGCAGTGCCATGAAATTGGGCCCCGAGAGTGTAACTGACATGTTTGTGTGGCATGCATGATTATGGTTCATGAGGTCCCTATAGATCTTGAATCTGAATATTCGTCAACTGCAGTGCTAGCTTTATAGGAGCTGTTCAATTTAAGAACAACGTATTTAGAATTGTTGAATAGCAATACTGTGATTTGTTGAGTTTGTTTTTAATCACAATTTTATTCACTCACTTAAGATGGCATTTCTTGGCTCGAAAAGGAGGTAAAAGTACACTATTATACAGTTTTGACGAACATTGTCTTTTTTTTGTCTATTAGGGGCAAGGAAGAGATGGACCCTGCCTTCACACAAGATCCACAATTACTGAAAGATTCCAGGAAGAAAACGACACATCTGTGTACTTCAGAAATATTCACACTTTACTGCCTCCAGTAAGTTTAAGGGATAATGGTTGTGCAAATCAGGAAAGTTCAATTGACCAGTCACAGTCAGAGTTGAGAGCACAGAGCACCAATGGCAGAACTGCTCGGTTAACCCACAGATTAGTCACCTCACTGGCTGCATTTGCAGACGACATCTCCTTCTTTGACGCTCACACACTCTCCCCTCGGCATGATGGGAAGGGTCGAGGTGACAGTGGCTGGTGGGGTGCAAAGGTCAAACCTACACTTTCACTGGATCCTACAGAGTCAGATGTTAATTATGTAATGGAAGACAGCAGGTTATCCATCAGGGGTCTCCTGGAAGCAGCCAGTTTTAGCCGTTGCCATAGCAACTATGACAGATCAGTCAACCAAATCAATCAGTTGCTGCGAGACGATGTTATCCATGGCAGTGTCCAAGAACAAAAGACAACAGTGATTGAAAACCCAGCCGAGATTGAGCCAAGGTTGGGTCAAGATTGCCTTAAGCTCCATCAAGATGATTGTACAAAATGGTGAATATCTGTCCTTAAAATATATTGTAGTTTAAATAATGAAAAGTTTACAAAAAATGTTCTTGTAACTTAATTAAGCGAGCCATCAAACCAGACCAGGTTTTATTTTGACTTAATTCATTAAAAGTGTAACATATGTGTGGACATCTGTTTTAGCTCTTACTAAGCATTTGCGTGCTTCAAAAAAATTATGAATTTGCAGCATTTTTTTCCAGTAATTTCCAGTATCAATTTCCTGCAATCAAAGTTATTCTTCTGGTATTCCTTCTTTCAGTCCGGAACTTTACTCGACATTGGTCAACAAACTACCTCTGTCCATGCGCTGTAATCACAGAGTTTTGGCCACTGAATATCTGCCGACACTACGATGCATCTGTAGATCAGAGCAGATAAGAGAGGAAATGAAGATCAAACGAAGGTAGGATCAATGTAAAAGGAAAAAATTAATATGGCAACATGCAGAATGTCAGTTCCATACTTGGCGTGGCTTTTATGGCCCTCTGTAATCCCTTAAAGTGATGACCCAAATGTTCACAATTTTGTTCGACATTAAGACACTCGGTAAATAATTTGACGTTTTTCATTATTTGTTTGTTTTTTTTTGCCAGATTCCTGCACTACCTCGACTCCATCTCCCTGAATCTCAAGACGACAGACCACATCTCCCTTTGCTCAATCATGGAAATGAAGCAGCCGACAAGAGAAGATAATAAATCAAATGAAAACTGTGACGTAGCATGTGAATCATGATCAAGGTTGATCCAGAGCCTCCTGAAACACATTTCAATTGTAAATGGATTTGTCTCATTTGAGCACGCACTTTAAGTGGTCACAACTAACCATGTCAAATACGGAAGACAAAAATTTTCATTTGACGCCAAAGACAGTCTGGATGATTGTCAAGCATTGGAGCCTCAGTGCTGCAAAGCTTGCAGAGCTATGTAAAGCAGCCATTTTTGCCCCCAATCTAGTCACACATTAGGCAATTTAAATTCTCCAAAAAAATTTCCTGCAGAAATACATGCCGAGTGACATCAAAGCTGTCGCAAAAGAAACACATTTCCTGTTGTGCTAGAGTTTGTCCCTTTCACAGGGATGTGAGATGTCTGCCCCGGTGAGTGGTCTTGTTAATATTGACAGTGTTTGTTCACAGGCAGGAAGGAGAGTACATGCATATGGGAAAACAAGATAGATTGGATGTTTTTCAACTCTGTCCAAAATGAGATTTCATTGTGAGGTTTAATCAGGATCGTCTGAGGAGAGAATGCACCATTCTTGAAGTTTGTTCTATAGTAATACATAATCCTGTTTGATAAAATGAAGTTTTTCCACCGTTGATTAGAAGATCAGTGTTTGCACTTTGAAATTGGTTGTAATTAAATTGAGACTTTGAAAAGGTTATATTTTTAACAAAATTTTACTGTGCATGCTTGCTATAAATTAAATAAATATGAAACAAAAGTCAAAAAGTACATGTAGTTAATTTTCTGTTATTAGTAATGCATTGAAAGGTTCAAATAAGAAATTTGTATGTAATAATCAAAACTTTGGGGGAGATGAGTAGATGGGAATCTGTGCTTTCAAATTCTTTCCCTGAAACAACTGAGTAGCAATTTCATGTAGTGTTTCATGACAGTATTTCAATGTGTGCCAACAGTATCTGATCTTTGATTCAACCCCAAGCAACTCGGACCCAAAAATTAAAATGAATTTGTTTCTTGATGAAGAGCCTGGCCTGTTGAACTTTCATGTTAATTTGATAGTTGTCTCGAGTTTTTTTCTTACAAATGCATATGCCACTAAAGACTACACAATCATGTTGAAACTCCCAAAAGAATTTAGGAATCGCTCGGTTCTAATCAAGAGTGGTCCTCGGAAAATCATGAGAGTTTGAAAGCAGGCATGGAAAGATTTTTTACTTCCAAAGGATGTTTTATTTCAAAACTTTTCTATTCGCACAAAGGGTGACAAAACAAATATGAAATATTCATAATTACATGTAATTTGCAAGTCTGAATGAAATTACAGTAAAACATTTGAGAATTTCATTTTATGCATCACACTGCACACCGCGCCATATATGGTAATAATTCATTTTCTTCAAAAATAGATTTTCAGATTCATTTATACACCCACAAAATACAATGTAAATAATCATTACATCTTTACATCAATTTGACAACTGTTCATCAATATCTCATATACACGTACAATGGAATGTTTGACGGTTATCACACTGGCTGACAGTTAGAAAAAAAAAAACACCGGTGAACACCTGGTTGTTATTGCCTGTGTGGTACATTTAAATGGGTGTCCATGAGAACTTCATTCAACATGCCATAACGAAGAAGGCACCCAACAAGAGATGCAGGCAATGTCTGGTTTGTCACAGTTCTCAATAAAACCTGCCCAATGTTGCCACAGCTCACGCATTGTCAAAACTTCCTTCTGTTGGACAGCCAACTTGGGAAAAATTCGGGACTTCAATGAGATTTTCATTTGAGATAACACTGGGTAATAACTACATGTAATTATTGTAGAGTGGTTTTTACCTCACATCCAACACACTCAACAGCAGAGTACTATTACCACTAATCTTCTTGTCTCCACTGCCACCGCAGTGTCACGGATACAATCGCCATTCTCTAATTTAAGAAATTAACCAAATACAATGTATACTTTTACTCTGTGTACAATCTCATAATGGAAGACTAGACTGGCACATGAAACTACTCACTAGGCACAATCGGGCAAAGACAGGGTTTTATAAATACAGTAAACTCTGTAAAATATATATCCACAATTGACATTATTTTGCATAAACCTGGCTCAATTTCATGGTACTGCTTATTGTAAGGAAAAAGAATAGAAGTCTGCTGACCACAGTAGACAGTTCAGTGCTACTGGCTACAATGTTTCACTGTTCAGCGCAGAAACTTGGGTTACATGTATACACATGTACACATCCACAAGAATTCTGTGCCTACTTGGTCAGCGTCCAATTTCTAAATGAGCTCTGTCACCACTGAGAATGCTTATCTTGAATATCACATTTAGGGGTAAGCAGCAGTGTCATAGTCCTTTACATCACAAGTCCATCACAAGTCATCCATTCCCAACCAAGTCACAAACTACTCAAATGAACCGTGATATGAGCATTCCTTTGTCATTGTTCACCATGTTACTCATAACTGGTCTTTTGGAAGGGCTTGTGAAGCAGTGTTGTAGTGGAGTTCATTTCCATGAGTATGAGTACTGCATGAGTGTGAGTAATGCAGGAGTACGAGTACTGTGTGAGTATGAGTACTGCATGAGTGTGAGTACATGGAAGGTACTAGGGAACAAATACCACACTGTTGTGAAGGGACTTGTGATGGAGTCTTCTACAGCACTGGTTGTACTTGTAGCAGAGCTATGACGTTGGGCTTTAGTTCTTGAGCTGATTGAGCCCATTTCCTTTATAAAATGAAATGGAGTGAAGAGAATGAAATAGCTCAAACTGACAGATGCCACGTGCATTATTGTTGGGCATGTGATCTGTCAGTGGTACTGCACGACTTACCGCGAACTAACGTACCTACGATGGTCATGTATCTGCATGTGCAGTGGGCGTGGTTCAAACTGAAGTGGCCCAGCCAAACGCCTTTTTGTTCTAATGGGGGTGGGAGAATTCAGCTTTTTAGCTGAAAATTTTTTCCTTTAGATGTTGATCCTTAATTGCAGCATTTTTGTACACCTGGTCTGTACAGAAATTGTATGAGAACTTTTTACATTTCAGCTTTTTGACAGCTTTTTTTTCAGCTTTGCTTTTAACTGGTCACTCACACCTCTGTACATCTACATGTAATTTGCAGTTGTGGAAGATTGTTTTGTGTGAAGTACATGTAAGTCACAGATTTCACACAAGATGGACCGGTAGAACAACGTGAATACCAAATATTACTACTTTCTCCATTTCATCCTAGCTAATGCTGGTCGAAACTGAAAAGCTGGAAATAAACTTAAACTAAAAACTAAAAATAGATGAAGATTGAAACTGCCAGAGCAACTATTTAGTATATGCAACTGATGAGGTACATGCTCCAGTGACAGTAAAAAATATAATATGAATTTTTTTCCTAACTCAATCATTATTTCAAAGTAGTTCATGGGAATTTTGATCTTGGCATCACTAGGTCACAGTATATGCAAGTATAGGGTATCATAAAAGGTGCCCTTCTCTTTGAAAATGGACTAAAATTATCTCAGGGTTGGAAACACGTTTACTGAGGATTGCACATTTTCTTTTTTCATTTTCAGAAGATTATAAACAAAATTACATACAGTATTCTTGTACCTATCAAAATAGTGTATTTCATAAATGTTACATTACAAAGCAACTGTTACTTTTTTCTCTTCACTTTTAAAGATGTTTCACCTACCAGACCTTGAAAGATATCTCGACACTGACAGTCTGGCTTTGCTTTTGTGAAGGGGAATACAAAACTACAGACGTGAAACTTAGTCATAAAATAAAATCTGAATCAATTCAATCACTGGAATCAGTATTTGATCCAGTAATGAAAGAGCAGTATGGACGTAACGGCAATCACACCGAGTATTCCCCAAACCAAGTTATTTGGGGGAGGAGGCTCAGTGGGCGTGGTCATCGCCTTATCAATGACTGCGTCCAGCTTCTGGACAGTGATGGGGAGGGCTTGCCCAATGTTTCCCGTGCCGAGGCTTGGCTGGGCAGCTTCGTAAATGGAAGACAGGGACTGGCTGGAGAGAAGGTTGTCAAAAGCAACACCGATGGAGATGTGGATCTGGGGCACAAAATTGAAGACAGAACCAATCTTGGAAGGTTTGCATGGAGGACAGTCAATGTTAACCACTTGCTGCCGGGGAGCCTGGTTTCGGGGACGTTGGCTTTATACGCATAGCCGGGGTGCCCGAAACCGGACAAAGGGAAATGGGCCTTGTAACAAAAGACAGTACTCAGAACAAAAGACCGAGCTGCTGGGAATTGCCAACATTTTTTCAGTCGTCAATAGCGGAGGAAATCCGTTATTGTTTTGAATGATTGTGCCACTGTTTGTGGCATTTAGCACGAGTGGATTACCACCGGGGACAAAGGCGCTTCAGCTCTCCACCTACTTACATGTGAGGAGACCAAATGGATATTTACTTCCCAAAAGATTCTTAGAATGAACTTTTGCCTTCATGCTCCATACCCTGAATTGACCTGTTTACCTTTGAGCAGTTGTACATGTAATGTACCAGGATAAGGATGCTGTCATCACAAGTGCGGTTAGCAAACCAGTCTTGCCTGATGGATTCTCCGAATCTCTCCAGATGATAAGTCCGATTGGCACTGGATGATAAGGAAAGGTACCCAATCTCAATAGCCAATCAAACACAGTGCATTAAACCAAGACCTGAACAATGAACAATCCCTCCAGACAGACGTCAGCTTGCACACATCAAGCCAAGCCAATTTCAATCTATGCCACTTCAATGCCCAATCAATAACATGTATACCCAACCCAATATTATCCAGATCCAATTACAACAAACCAAGGACTCAACCCACCCTACCCTTGTACCCTCCAGTCATACTGAATCTCAGCTGAACCCATTTCAATCCATCACCATGACTCCTCAAAAAATCAATCTGAGCCAACCTCAAATCAGCGTACTGTAGCCTTAATCCAACCTAATTTTACTTTGTGGTCTAGTTGAGGGAAAACTGACCAGCAGTCTACAAATATGTGTAGTCATCTTCCAAATCTGCCCCAGCCACAGTATACGACCAACTTCACTTACCCAAGTCCACCCCATTAAAATTCACACCAGCCCATCCTAACCCAACTAAGCTCTGCCCCTCTTCATCCAGCCCGGCCCAACTTGACTCAAGCTGATCCCAACCTGACCTAAGCTAACCCATTCCTCCAACTCATGCCAACCCTGCCAAAACCAACCCATTCCGTCATACCGTCTACTCACACAGATAAATCCTCCTCCAGACTTGTCACCACAGCCACGCCCATCACATATCCCTCGTCAGCAAACAGAAATGTCGTGTTACCGCTGCAGTTGCAAACGCACGATGCATTGGCATTGATGCTGACCAGGAGAGAATCAATGCTATCAGCTGTACCGACAACCAGGGGAAAAAAAAAAACAAGACAAATTAAACTTCTGGTGAATATTGTCCTGGAAATGTCCAGTATCTCAATTGCATGCACTTTTAACGAGCCTTTTCAACCTGATCATAAAAATGTCCAGTACTGTCTTTACGTTCTCTTATACAAAGAGTCTGTTTTCCAAAGTACGTGGTAAGCCTTAAAGTGAAGAACAAACCCACTGCATGTTCATCCGGTGTTATCACCGGATGATCTTTTCTCTTTATCTCTTACCCTGTTCTTTTGGAAGCACTCCGTCCACATCACAAATCCAAGACTTCTCCGTGTCTGTCCTTCGGCATTGCTCTGGGTCTTGCCAGGGGTTTGGGTACCTAGCCCTCACCCCTTCTGTCACATTGTCTGTACTGCCTGCTTGCTCCACAGCACAGCTCAGAAGCAGGCAGATGAGGCAGAAACTAAGGACATGCTGAGTGGAATACCTGTCAGAAGGCATTCTGGTGGTGGAGAGAGTGGAATAACTGTCAGAAGGCATTCTGGTGGTGGAGGTGGTAGGTTGATTCTTTCCTCACCAAAGGAAGACAATACCCATTGATCAAATTTTGTAGTTACCTGTCAAGTACCAAATTAAAGAAAAAAACTGTACGATCATTTGTACAAATGTCAGTAATGACACACATACAATTTATAAAAATATTTTATCCACAATCACTGACGTGTTATCAGACTTTGTGGATTAATTGATTAAAAGGAGCAGCTTTTTCACCAGTAAAATGAATTTTGTTCAGCTCTGACGAAATCATGCTGCTATCAGGGTCATTCTATAAATTTGGGGTCCAATTTTTGTATCCCTGTCACATCTGTCATAAAATTTTGTAAGTTTTGAAGAGATACTTTAATTTCCAAGAGTGAATCAAAAATAAAAATTACCTATCGAACCCAACAAATGTGTGATTCACACCGAAAGGTCTCGTAACTGGTTCCCCTCCCACTTTGAAACTGTTCCAATGCCGTTGGAGAGAACCATTTTGTAAGAGAAAGAAAGTGGGCAAGCAACAGTCCAAGCATACATGTAGAACAAGTGGTTCAAGTAAGTAGGACTCTACAAATCTCCTCTTTATAAACAGTTGTTTGTGATTGGGTGTCCAAATGTTAGAATGGGAATCTATAGAGTCCCACATGTACACAGACAAGCAATAAATTACACTAAAAATAAAAAAAGAGAAAAAAAAGGACCACAGAAAGGGAAGAAATGAGAGATTCAAGTAGCAGAGAATGAAGGTGTGAGTAAAATCAATTGAATGAATCCCTCTTAAGCCAGTCTATTGGCAGACCCGTAAACAGTAGGGCTGTGCTGATATCTGAATATCCAAATATTCAATCGATTATTGAATATTTGGATATTATTTTCCGAATTTGAATATTCAAATGCAAAATTCATGAAAAGGGAGAATTTTCTTTTGTTTTAAATGAGAAATACTCAACTATGGTGGCTTGTTTCAAGCAGATTCAAATGAAAAGCAATAGAAATCTAACGATTCAAAAAGTAAATTAGGCCTATTCTTTAAAAAAATTTTAACAGGGATTGAAATTTTCAAGAGGAGAAGTATTATTCGCCTCTTAAATCTTGCAAAGTTGTGGCTGTAAATACTCCTAGATGTGAGAAGCTATTATAGTGATTATAATGTACAATTTTGTGTGTTAGTGCAACTGATTTTTGTATGTGGTTTGTTCATCAACAATCTGCCGGTTGGTACAACTGAATATTCGGATATTCGATTGATTTGCAGGTCGAATATTCAAACAGTGAATTATTCGAATTGACTCAGCCCTAGTAAACCTAGCCTTACGTACACTCCTTCGAGGATATCAATGACAGAGCATATGTAAGGCCCTGTTTACAGGTCCAGTCTATGGGGTTCATTCATCACGCCCACAACTGCCCACTATGCTTCCATGATTGTGGGAGCGTGGTAAGCATGACAAACTGCATAGTTCTAGGGTAGAACATGCGTCATTAGCAACGCACAACTTTTACAGTAGTCTAGAAATGGTGTCAGCACATCCATGCAAATGACGACATAAGACAAACTTTATAGGCCTAGCCCAGTGCTCACACTTTTATTTCAGTGGCTTGTTAGAATATTCAGTTGACAATTCTGATGAGATCTGCAGAGTTGTCACATTGTGCATGGCCAAGTTGACATGGCAAGGGTAGAATGTTGGAAGGACAGAGTAGGGCAACTGACCTGTCATGCATGTAGGTCTACACAAATGATGAGTAACTGTGGTAACTTGAGTTACTTATTGTGCTGAACATTCACATAAGTAAGCTTAGACTAAGTTATGGAAGTTAACGTTACTCTGGGTTCGTTGTCCGCCGCCCGGTGGATGACAAGCCAAAGATAATTATAAAGAGCAAGGGTGGGCTTCACTGGGCCATGGAGGAAGAAACACATCCTCCATGACTGGGCCAAGTAAAAATTGAGTGCAGTGACGTTATTTGACTTAACTAGTAATACTATGGCCTTCATTACCAGCACCCTGTTCCTATAATCAGTGACAATAAGGAAACAAAGTCCACTTTCTCAAACTAACATTCTGACCTTAAGGAACCATTACTCAATCCTGATAGAAGTAGTTTAGGTAAATTCTAACAATATTTAAGCAAGAAAACTTCAAATTTCTAACCCGAGTTTGGCAAAAGACAACCACTCAGTCGAATCACGCCATTTTGCTTTTCGTCCGGTAACCCGACTCAGGCTTTTTGGATTCATAGAAACAAATCTCCATCCAGGTCAAGGCACCACCCTACATTCGCTTATTTGCTTGTTCACTGTTTGCCGTTCACAGCTCACAGCTACCTTCGGGGCGGTCATGTACGCTGCCGTTTTATCTCAAAAACCAAAAGCCCAGTTCTCTTTTTTTTCTGATATGTAAGCGGATATCACCAATAACTTGTTTTCATAAGTTACTTCGAAAAAGTAGAATTTGTTCCCTTATATTATAATAGAAACAGGGTGCTAAAGGTACATAAGGTAATAACCCCCTAACTATCTCACCGAAACCTCTTTTTCTGACAGTTCAAACCTTTAAAAAGAATACAAAAGTAGTATTGGTCAACATGTTAAAACTTAAAAGCAAAATTTTGCCTACTGCCAGTGCCACACATCCACACACGGTAATTATTTTGGAAATGTAGTTTGGTTCCGGCTGCTTCACGCAATTGTGTGTGGCGTCGGCAATCTGACGATACTTTAGTAGTCTGAGTTCCATTTCACCATTATAAAAATACTCCCTTTGCTGGGGTCAGGGGACTAGACTAATGTGCCGTTTTTTAAACGGCGAAACGAACATCAGTCGTGGAGCACCAGCCATGTCAGCTGTTGTCTCCAACAGGCCGCCCATTATGACAAAAGAGCAGCCACCAATTTTGATTCATTGAAATTTTCTATTTATCCAGATAGTTTGGAATACATTTTATGGTTTTGACTACATCCCCCATGGCTGGGCTATATAAGGATTTCATATATGGTTCAAACACCAGTTTGAGCCCTTTTACTTGCGGCAGTATGGACTTCCCACTTCAAGTACAGAATAGTTGTCCGTGGTACTGTGGCATTTGTGTCTTATACACGTACATGTACATGTACTTGGCTGAAGCTGTCATCTGTTTTGACGTCACAGTCGTGTTTTTCATTCAAGTGGCTGCTGAAACTATAGTTGGCCGTCGGTAAAAAAATGTTGAAGAATAACTCACAGAGAGTTTAAAAAACACACAGCTATCAGAAAACCAGACAATACACGTACCACTAACTACTAATTGAAAATACAATCCTATTTAAAATGGGACAAATGTTAATTTGAACGAATTTGAGGTGAAATTGAAAACCAACCAAAAGGTGATATTTCTGCAAACTTAGGCCGCCCATACAAGTTGCAGGCAAAACAGAACATGAAACCATGGTAGGGAGAACTTTTTTAGGATCAGTACTGCCCATACGGCATGGCCTATAATCATTTCCAAAATTACCAACTAGCACGACTGTCTCAGACTCAGCCTGGGGGAGGGGGTGCGTGTCCTCGTCCCTCTGTAGCCACACCCTGCCGCAGCAGCTAATCAGCAGCTATTCCATATTTTCTAAATTCACTCCCTCTCCGACCGAAACTAGGCATACAACGAATTCGAGTGAATCTGCTCACTCCACCAGATCAGAATTTCACTCAATTTGTCCCCGCAGGCAGACGTTCTTTTGCAAAGTATCTTATTCTAATTTCAGAGTAATTTTCTACTCTCAATCGTGTCATATCCCAGGGTACCGTACGACCCTGCCATCCCCTTCGCTGTCGGCCAGGACCTCCCAGATTTTGAATTTCTGTACCATTCACTGTGCCACTGCGTTAACATCGTTCAGTTTCAATTATTCAACAATTTGGTCCAGTTAGTGAGAAACGCACGCCCAACAATAATTAGCCTGGCTCCGCCAGGACTGTGTGCCCGACAAGTTCACTCCTTCGACTCGTCACACTATGAAATATGTATCTCATTAAATCAGTAACAAGATCACTTGCATTTTGATCAAGATATTGTGTCATCGCGGTGATGACTGTTTTTGCTACATAAAAATCAAAGGCCTCATCGTGAGGCGGCAGAGCAGGCAGGGGCGGGTCCATCATTTAGTTTACAAAAAGGCGTGGGTCCTCACAGTGGAGGTGTTAAGCCCATCGCCATCCCTGTATAAATGTGGAAATTAGTGCGCCCCCAACCCTTGGGTCGCCATCACGGTAAAACAACGCAGACACAACTTGATTTTGTTCACTATAAACAGGACGTGCATGCTCACTGCAGACTTGTGCCCCACGTGTAATATAAAAATTGATAACTGTAATAATAACAGGTTGGCTCAGCTGTCGTGAGCACGAACAGCTGTGCCTATATGACACGTCACGTATCTTTTCAATTACATCCTGCATGTCTGCCAAATCCACGCCAATAGAATCTTTAGTTTCACACCAATACAATCTTTAGTTTCACGAGGTTCATGTCAGTGAAAGCCTTGCAAATTAACGATTTCGGGATTCGGGAACATTTACGAGTTACTTTGAGTTTTCCCAGTTCCTTGAAACATTTCACCCTGTGGGTGTTCCAAAACTCTCTTGCACATTCTGAAGTTCACAGCGAATTCTGTTACATTTACGGTGGTTGTCATTTTACGCCTTTCAGAGAGCAATCCAAAAAGGCTCTACGCTAAGAAAAATGTTTACCAGCCAGACAGTTTTGAGGGGGAAAATACAATAAATAACAAATAAATAAAATCAAAAATACCAGATAAACTCTTTAAAGACTAACTCATGTAAAAACTCAGGGGAAACCTTGGAACGCAATATACTGGAAAGTAAACGTCAACAACAAAATGAAAGTCAGACAAATAATCAGTTAATCACGGTCGGTTTTCTTACAAAATTGCAGTTTTATTATCCTCATTTCTCAAAAGCTAATATTAAGGTGCATAAACGGTGATATGAAAATAATGATGATGAAGTAACTCATCAAGACCACCAACATCAAAATACAAGAGAAAAATAAAAGAAACAATTCCAGTCAAGTAAACAAATTTTCGGCAGATGAGAACTAAATGAAGAAACTAAGGTGATGACTCAAATTTTACTATACAGGATCAATCGGTTTAAAGTCGTGCCTCTTTTATATTGGAAACTCAAATCTTCATATTCTTGATCAGGAGCAACCAACTGGAAGTTTGGCACCTTCAAAAGAAAATGTGCGCCTTTCTTGGCCTTGTTTTCTTCATAAAGAGGCAAGATTCTCAGCCACAAAAGAATTACGTTCGACTGGGGGATAGACTTGCCTACTTTGCTTGTGGCTTTGCTTCGATTTGTTTCGTTTTTCAAAGAGATTTAAAATTTTTGAATTATTTCTCCCAAAACTAGAAACCTGGTCTGTCATTCGGAACATGTATTCAGGATATACTTTGGTATTGTTTCACGTGGGAAACCTTTTATATAAATAATTTAACAAAACGAAAGTCAACAAATGTAAACAACTTTACATGGCCTATTGTTTATATACCTAACGTTCCGTGGACGTGTGCCCTATAGTTGTTAATATTTCTCAAAAACGAAATGCCAAAATGACAATGTAAATACCTGGTCTAAACAAATGGACTAGTCTGGAGACCTTTGATATTTAAGATTAATCATTATGACTATCAAATCAGAAATGTGACCCATACTATTTTAGGTAATCCAGTTGTTTGCAGGATGACTATATATCCACATCCCCAGGCAACGGTGAAGTATCTGTATTATGGGCCTAATGACGCCTTGTTTGCTTTGGTATTATGCAAGTGGCGTGGATAGAGTACGGCTATTCGATGATGTTCTCTTGCTTGCATTTAACCATCCACCATATCATGACAGCAGATATAATAAAGGTGATGCGCATCATGATTCAAGCGGCCGATCACGTAATATGTCCTCTCAGGCACTGGCTCTCGGCCACGTCTCTGATTCAAGTCCGCTGAATTGGGCGAACATTGCCGGCATGACATTACTGCGGCCATGATAATCAACCAGACCTTGTTGCCAAGGTAACCGTTGTCGTGGAAACACACCTGACGCAATTCACTTGACATTATGCCACAAAAATAAAGGCGTTTTGTCTCAGGAAGCCCTCGCCGCGCCAACGACGAGGTTGCTGCAGTGTTTCTCACGCTGGACAAAACGTTTGATGTTATTTATAGGTGCCTCAACAACAGACAACTAGTGAAAATGGCGCCTGTGCTTCTATATATAATCTCACGTGTCAACAATAACAAGTCCTTAGCAACCATTCAGGTATACATATTTGTAATGAAGAAAAACTCACATGGTTGTATAACAGAGCATAAATTACGTTGACGAGCGTCAGCAGATTACGCACGTTGCATTAGTAATTTTAATGAAATAAAGTTTGAACGAACGTTCAAAAGCAAGTTTATAAGTAGTTTTAATATCCATACACGTTAATTCGTTGAGACCCTTAAACCTGACAAAGTATGCGGAGTGATTTTTGAATGAAAACCGAGAGACGGGGACAGAAGAACTGTGTACAAAACTGACATTATAAGTATGTGCACGTAAAACTACACCACTAAGATAGATGATTGAAGATTCATAGTAAAGTTACCAAGCCCAATAACCTGCAGATAAAGTGTAAATCTATTTGACGATCATTGCCATTTTGGGGATGTTAATTATGCTACACTTGGTACAATATCCAACGACCATTAGAAGTAATTTCCACCACGTGCACAATTTGCATGGGATTAATGTTTCCAGTCAAACACCGTCCGACAGAGGGCGCTGAGTAAAAATGACACGTGACATAATTGAGATTCGCCACTCACTTCAAAGAACGTGAAAATTCACTGATGCACTGTGACAAAACAATAGAGCTTGTATGTCAAAGGGTAAGTACCTGTACTATTTACTTAGTTGTCGAAACAGTGATAGCAATGGTTAAGAAACTACCAAACGACGTAAAAATATGACACGTATGTCACGCTGATCTATTAGTTTTACAGAGAAAGAAAAAGCAAGCCAACACGTGGAAGATATAGTTAAGCGTCTGGTAGTGATGGTGCTCTTATCACCTCAATGAATTTGCCATTTTTATGCAAACGTTGACCCCACTTTACCGTGACATTCAATCACGGTATTTCGTGCGCCAGCATTGATTGTGTTCATTTAACTCCTTCTAATCGATTGCCAAGGCTATAAAGTGACTGGATCACGTGGTCTATTTACGTCATCCTTGCCATCGATTCTCTACTAATTTTAGATTGGCAAACTGTATACATAAAAATGTGGTTTCAATTACCATCGACATGCTTTGCAATCGGGGGAAAAATAGAAAAACGAACAAGGACAGGCTAAGCCTATACTTTAAATAGACATAAACGCATTACGGGCCGCCGCTACAACTCAAAACTGGTGCCAAGCATTATCGTGCATGACTGTGTCAAACTGGCGTCGTAGAATGGAAATGTGCAATTTCAGTGCTATATGCGACAGAATTTTGGCAACTTATACAAAACCAACCGCATGTAAAGAAGGTATAAGACGAATTCTGTATGAATAAGATCAAAACAAAATGACAGAAAGACCGATTACTTCGGTAATTACATATTACTTGTATCAAGAAAAATAATACCGAACTCGACGATGCTTACTGCATCAACTAAGCTGCATCTTTAGTAATTGTATTTATACGCCAAAACACCCCAACACAAAACTGCATTATCTCATTACTAGTACTGTGGACCGCAAGGCCCTGCACAACATTTGGAATTTTGGATCAAACATTAATTGAAACCATCCATCAAAAATGAAGCTAGCTATCATGTTCATAGACTATAACCCCAACCAATGAAATTAATGCTCTTAGTAATGCAACTCGAGCACTGTGTGACGAAAACGAACGCCACAAATTTATCGAAGTATGGCATAAGCGAACTATCCCCGAGGCTTCACGCTTCAGTTTCTACTGTAGTATACAATACAAAATAATGTATAAAAATATGTATGCCCCTTATAAACCTTCTTAAAAATATTACATTTGCATATGTACAAGTAACACTTCGGAATAATTTGAACAATGTTGTTTACAGGTGTGGTCAGTGACGGTTCGCGCAATGGTTGCAAGCTCTGAATTGAACGACAAAAGAAACATTGGACAGCATCTCTTCTTCAACGGAAAATGCTGTGAGGATTTGGCGTTGACTTCATAAAGAGGTCAGGTTTCGAGACTGGATTTGTGTAGCGTATAACAATGCTGACCAAGATGAACATTTACAACTACGTGCGATCTGCTTGGTTTACAAAACACTTTTCAGTTGTTTGCATCTGCTGAGACGAAACTGAAATTCTCCGGAAGAATTTCGATCTATGTGTCTTGTTGAATCGGACACAATGTGTTGAATTTAGATCGTGCCGTGGGGCCATGCACTCAGCATGGGTGATATGGTTACACTTAACGGAGACCAAATAGGATATCAAGCTTTGCGTGACGGTGGAATGGATATACGGGTGAACAACACGCTGCAGACATTTTATCTCTCCAGCTCCTTTGACGAAGAACCGATGACGGGCTTGTCTTCTTGATATTCGTATGACGACATATGGTATGAGCCGTCGAAAAAGCCGTTCTCATCAACGGTTCTTTGTGCTCAATTAATGTTTTTTCTTCTTCACAGACGAAACTCATGTAACCACATGAAAAGTACATCCTCGAAATGGGGGGGGGGTTAAACCTGTGAAGAATGCTAAGAGCAGCCGTGTAGCGCTTATAATGAAAGGTGAGAATTCCCAGCCAAAATGACAGGGTTTTTTTTTTTACAATTTCGTTAAGAGTTTTAATTGGTTGAGAGTACAAAGTTAAGAGGCATATTTGTACATTATAAAATCCAATTGAAATGCCAACAGTACAGTGCATGCCGGAAATTCCTTAATGTCTTGCCCCTGGAATTCCCACTGTTTGTTGGGGGAAACTTCGGCGTCGTGAATCACGGGGCGCTGCAACACCACAGCAAAATTCTCAAACTGAAATCCGTCAACTTAATCACCCAAGACTGGTCAGAATGATGCACGGCTGCTTGGAAAATTTACATAGTCTAAACGAGAATTGGAATTTTCTCGTCGACCAATTTACATCAATCATTAGTTGACTATAAGGGATGTAGTTTGTTGTCCTAGTAACAATTTACCTGGAGAAGGGCAACGCCGAGTGGCTATTTCAAAACTCTTCAGGTCATTTCGATGTAGCCAAAAATGTTGCTTTTCTTGGGTTCATAATTATATGGAACTTTCAGGAAACATCAGGTTCGTAATAGCAGCTGGTCTGCTGGTGATAGACCAGTATCCTCCATGATTGGTCCACCGTAATCTATCACCTGCTTGCCTCACTGTCGTCCTCAGCTTTGGGGTCCTCGGACACTGCGTCCTCGGATCTACTCCTCCGACCGCGCGATGGCTCTGGCACCGTCATGTCCTGGGCGCAACAAATGTTCGAAATCAGGCACATGGCAGTCATCATGCCCAGCAGCAGCAGCGGGATGGAGAAGGCGAAGACGACGTCGGAGGTGATGCTGGGCCCGTTCAGGATGGCCTCGTTGAGATGGTCCACCACAGCCTTCAGGCCTTCATAGGTCGCGCTGGTGCCGGCGGGGGTTGTCTGGTTGTGATCGTTCCCCTGGTCCTCGGACGATTTCACTGTGAAGAACTCCTCCCCGAGGCGGTACAGGCTGGCCAATTCCAGGTCAGACACAACCCCCTTCATCTCCTCCCCGATGGATATGTAGAGCTGAGAGAGGAAAAAACAAACAAGAGATTTGGTTGATATAATCAATAATGACTTGCGGCTCTTATCTGGCTGATGATATAGAACCAACTGCAAAGGCAGACGGAGATTGATGACAGCATAAACTAACTATAGCAAATGACTTCTGGGCTTCACGTCTCGGGGGCCCAAATCCCGTAAATAGCAATAAATCTTACACACTAAAATCCGATCCTCAGCGCAATATTAAAGGCTTTCATAATTTTCTTCTTCTTTTTTTCTTTTCTTCTTTTTTGGGGCGATTGGTTATTACAAATCTAACACCGTACCCTGCCACTTCCCTTAAATTGTTGAAGTTCCCGGCGAACATAATTTTTAGCTTTTAATTCAGAAAGTATTATCAACAGATATATAAAGTGTTCATTGCCCCTGAAAATAATATACATGTACATTGGCGTGAGAAAATCAGGCTATGGATTTCTGGGGACATATTTATTTCTCATCCTCAAGGGCCCAGATCGACATAATGACACTTCTCAAATCAGGAGTTGCAATACACATAAATCCAAAACACCAACAGATATTACACGCCTGAATCAGAACAGCCGAATTTTACTAATATTCTTCAGGCAGCGTGACTGCCGGGCTTAATTTTGTGACATTTCCCGTCCAATATAAAACCGCCATGAATATTCACGCGGTGCCGTCCGTTGGCCGCCCGCATACATTTTTCAGATGTTTCCATCTCCAATCGTATCCCCGTATATCCTTGGGTAAATCACGGGGAGGCTTGTCTCAAGGATGCCCGCTACATTTTGGCTCCGTGCGCTGGCTGATCTCCACATGTGGCAGTAATGGCCTCAAAAAATACAGTCAACGTTGAGCTTTGCGGAGACCTTGCGCATCGGGAGACTACATCACTATATAGAGCTTCAACTACGAATATTTTGGTGTTTTTCTCCCTTATCAATTCAGCAAGCGAAGTCTTTTTTCGCTAGCCGAAAGACCCGGTCTTGATACTACAGATCAAAATGTCACACTTTCTACAATCTAAAATTATCATCAGTGAAAAGTGCAAGTCCTTTGTGCCTTGGGGGAAGAGGTGGTGTACGGACCAGAAATGTCAGTCTATCCAATTCTTATTCGCATTCTTGTGTATTTTGACAGCGAGGGCGAATCCAGGGGAGACCAACGGAGCCCACGACCCACCCAGAAAATTCGTTTTTAAATGAAATGCGATTGTTTGGGGGTTATTTTCCTCCTCTTCCTTAAGAAATAAGGGAAACCACAATGTATCCTAACCCCTAAAGACCATAAAAGGTCACATTAAAAAAACTTCTAAATCCTCCTCCGAAAACCCGTTTGCCCCCCCCCCCAAAGGAATGTGGCTGTTGATCCATCCTTGCCAACGAGCAGTTTGATGCAAAATAACAACACTCAAAAACAAGCGCAATGCCGTGTTTAAAATGTATTAAACTTCAGCAATACTTTAGGAGCGAAAACAGAAATAACGAAAGTTAGGCTTTCTACGACGAGCAGTAAGGCAAAGCAACCGTTCGAACTGACCGGAGAAATATAAAAGAACCGTTCCACTTGTCCAGTCATCAATACGGCCTTATTGACGACGGAGGCCGTTCGGTAGAGTGATAGAAATTATTTTGTTATCAGAATAATCGATGGAGAAACCCAGTGAAGATTTATGGCCAGACTATATAAGTTGTAGGTCCATCAAGGACACGGGCCTCTTTCGTTTCTACTTGTCTGGAAATAAAGTGCCCAACCGTAAACAATATAAATTTGGAATGGCATAATATTGAGAAAGGCCTAAACAAGCAATAAAGCTTTTATGTTTTTAAAGTTGCACTGTCCACCAGCGGTTATCCTTTGCATGCAGATGACCTCAACTTCCCTATCATACCTGACAAGAACCACAAGTTCCTTGCTTATCTGTTCACTGTAATTGATCCATTGAGTACTGACACAGAAATTTAAAGTGTTTCTCATCCGCATGGAAATAAAATTTGGGAATAAAAGTGAACCCAGATAAGGTTTTGTCGCGCGTTTAATATGTAGAGATCCACTTATGTTGCCGGAAAGAACATCTTGAAATTCTTCACTGACTATATCTCTGACGTTATTTTTTTTCATCGACCTCTGTGTCAAAAAACCTAAAAGTTTGGATAAGAATCTCAAAATCAAATTATCTTGAAAGGAACCAGGCGAGGTATACACTTCCTTATCTCCATTGCTCGCGTAATAAACTATCCCTGATACACTTTAGTTGACGGAGCTAACTCGTCAAGAATAAGGTGGGAGTTTATAAGGAAACAGTTCTAACAACTGCAAACCGTGCACTGTAAAAAGGTGCTTAAAGTTTAAACATATTTCTAAACACTTTTTGTACCCATTTTTTAAACACGTTTCACCAAACAAACTTGTTTTACATATGAAGTGTGGACATTCCTTTGTTCTCCTGTGCTTAAGTTAAATGCTCCTGTTTCTCCCCCAAGGATAACTCCTTCACGCTGGATTTTTGGTGATTTCCTCTTCATTTTGCCACGATAACTTTGACCCCAAAGTGCCTCTGGGGAAAACATCGTGTGGAGGTGTGCAAGTCCACACAACGTCATCGTACCTGCATTATGTGGACTTCTTTTGTGCAGAGGTCCACACTATGTGTGACACGCCTGTACCACGACATATTTAGACATCTACACTGAAATGCGTTTAGGAATGTGTTTAAACGCTAAGCAAATTTCCCAAAGCTGAACATGTACCATGCATGGAAAGTGTTTACAGTTTGAACACATTTGTAAACGCATTTCAAGAAAGATGTCTTGGATTAAACTTACTAAACAGGCTACAAATACTCTAAACGCAGTTTCAACAGTGTGGATATAGCTTGCAGTCCTATTAATGCTTAGTTCGTGTCTGCAATATTGCTTACCAACGACACCAAGGTTCTGAAATGCTTCCCAATGGCCTTGGTTTAACATAATGGTTTACAAGAGAGACGTCGACGTCAGGTATTACACACATGATGATCTTATGGTGTTGATGTGGCGTTAACCTAATTTGAATGATGGATCTGAACGCCAAGAATCGTTCAGACCCACTGATGACGCCACCATAAACCAGGCTACCAAGCGCCATCCACACTGCAGTCACTGCTCTACGGTGCAGTGTCGAAACATAGTCTTCATTCGAGTACATTGTGTGTCTCAATTGACAGTATTGCTGTCCGTGCACCATCACAAAATGAAAGGCATACAGTGGCTAGCAAGCAGCTTCCAAGGGAACAAGCGGTGTCGGCTGCGGCAACGGCTTTCGGTTGCATTCTTACATTACACTCTGGGAAATATCAAACCAGATTAGTACGAAAATCTCATCTTTTCCAAAGCAAACTTGTGACGCACACAACTGGTACCCTGGGGCTTACAAACCGCCATTTTACATTGCTTGCTGATTTAAGCGACTTTATGCTATCATACCGTTTGCTCTGTTTGCCGTCTTACCGGTCTTGTCAAGGTTTTTTCGCGTCAAGAATATACGGGTAGAATCATAGACTGCATGAAACTGTCATGCGGCGCTTTCTTTTTAAATCGTATAATTGCCTTTGGAAAGCATGTGCCCTACGTGTCCGTTTGTTATGTAACCGTTATTTTACATCTAGGAAACTTCCTCTTTAAATACTCTGCAGGGAAGTCCGGGGATGCGGTCTTATCCTGTTCTGCTTTAACCACTTGTTTGAATTTGTCATGTTTTAGGTTTTCGGAAAACAAACAAGGAGAGTTATTTGTTGTGAGCCGAAAAATGTGAAATTTGAAAGCTGAAATTTCACTGAATGCGAATTTATAATAATCTGTGAATGAACCACAAATGGATATTTACTAAAGAGGCATTGACGCTCCGAGGTTATACTTTTTCCCAGAGGAAACGTAAATTGTCTCACAGGAATCTTCGATCTTCTCTAAACTGGAAAAAATGATCCACACGTGCCTCCATGAACACACCGTCATGAGAAAGGTTCCAGAATGTTTAGCTGTCCAAAGCCTTTCGTGTGATAAGACCGTGGAACGGAGGGCTTGCCAGCCACATCAAAAGTACCGAACAGCCGAGAACTGAAAACAATGTCAATGGTGATTCATCGGAATGCGTTTCTCTCTGTCTCAATATTTGTCAGGAAGACAGCACTTGGTCTATTCTTGCAGCGTCGTGTGCAAAATGCGCACACTTTAGGGCCTCCTCGTCATTAAATATTAAAACAAAGTGTGTTGGTTGACCTATACCGTGCGTGCGACACGTTCCCTGCTACTAACTAGCCATTACGACTTGCTTAATGGCTTTTAACTGTAACTGAAAGGGCATATATGTGTGATGTCGACATAATGGAGGCACGCATATACAATTTACTGCATTATACAACAATTCGCAGCGCCAGCAGTGGATGCCCGAAATTTCAAACAGTTGAACTAGAAATAAACATTGTAATGAGAATAAAAACTACATAGGTTGACAACTAATATCGTTAAATATACAATTATTAAAGCCATTAAGACTCCATTCCAGTCCAAGCCCTGTGTTTGGAATTTGTGAACCACAATAATGATTGGCGGAAAGACATCGAAAACGAAGTTTTATGACCACATCGTGCAGCGTTGCCTTCATGTCTAACATTAAAACACACACGTTAAAAGAAAGAGAGTGATAAGGTTTCAGGGACGGGTAAGCCGAATGAACACGGGTTCTAGTGGCGGGCTTGGAGTGACACAAGCAGGTTGAAATATAGCTTCACACGGCGCACCATCTTCTCCGATGGCGTGGAGATGAATGTGAGGCTTGTGTTGGAGTGATGTTTCGAAGAAAGATACTTCCCTATATAAATACACTGCAAATCTGAGCACGTAAATAAAAGTCCATCGATTTTGAATTTATTTTTCTCCTGAACGCCCGAATATGATTTCGCAAAGTGTTAAACTACAAGACAAGCGAATCCTTTCGTGTGTTCAAAGAATCAAATTGAGGCTCTGTGCCTTAACGGAATACAGCAGCATGCAAAACAAACAA